GATATAAGAAGGAAGTGCATTTTTATAAACACAGCTTAGAACTGCGACTTACTTGACTCGTAATGCCCTTTTATAGGACTCGATAGTTTGAGTTCGTTTCACTATCAATACTTTCTATTAATACCTTAAGTAAATGACGTCAAAATAAACGTCAAGTTCTGTTATATAACGATAAAGATAAGGCAGTAATATCCAAGAAATAATTGTTTATAAACGAGGATATTGCATAAATATGGATTAGAAACATAGGAAACATAAAAGGAAAGTTTCCATTGCAGGAGCTCAACAAGGCTACTGGGCTAAGAATATCCACACGGAGAAAATATCAAAAGCTTACAAAGGCTTTAAGTTTTCGCTATTGTTCTTGACATTTGGACTGATAACTTAATGTGCATTTCTAAATACAAATTTTTTATTTTACAGTTTTTATTAAAGGAAAAAATATTTTAAAGAAAAAAAAAATTGTTTTTGGTTAAATATGTTGGTTAAGTTTTCGATTAATATTGAATAATATTGGTTAATTGAGTTGCTTGAGACACTCCTGTATAGTCGTATATTTGTAACACATTTAATCGCACTGATATTGTTTCTTAAAGCCTTCGATGGTCGATTTTTTTAAAAAAGAGCTTTTCGTCGTTTTTATATATTCAATAAGAGCATTATAAGCTTCAACTCTACTTGGTGATTCCTTACTCTTTTGTGTCATTTCTTTGATCCAATCGTATCTCAAATCGTCTGTAGACCACATATAATTCGATGCTAGGACTGGGATAACTATTGATTTTTCCTTTGCTGCTTTTTTAAAATCGTTCAGATATTTAAGTTTGTCTGCGATGGATGTTGAGGAATTGATGGAATCCCCACTGTCTAAATAATTTCGAAGAAAGGCAGCTTTATCAGCCTCTTCTGGATTATCTGTCAACAATTCGATCTCCACTTTCAAAGTTGATTTTAAGACATTCACCAAATTTTCGATAACGCTCGCTCTGTGCACCTCCAAATCGTTGGCCAATTCACAAAAAATGTCTAATTTTACTGGATCACTTTTCACTACGGCCTGAAAATTACCATAAGTTGTCATTAAAGTTGGTATTTATTTATTGGAAAACTCTTACCATAAAGGCTAGGAACACTGATATAAGAAGGAAGTGCATTTTTGTGAACATTGATTTGAACTGCGTCTTACTTGACTCGTAATGCCCTTTTATAGGACTCGATTGTTCGAGTTTGTTTCACTATTAATATTTTCTATTAATAAGTTAGGTAAATGACGTCAAATTAAACGTCAAGTTCTATAATCACTACGATAAAAAAAAGGAAAAAATTCCAGGAAAAATTTGTATTTAAATAAGGAAATTGCGTTAATATGGATTAGAAACATAAGACCTATTAAAAAGACATATTGGTTAAATATTTGGCATACGGGCCTTTGGGAATGTCACTACAGGTGATGAATAAGGATCCTGGGGTAAGGTAAAAATATCAAAGCCTTCGTACTAGTTAGGGTGTTTTTAAATATTTTTCTTTGTAGTTTCAAATATGAAATATTTTGATAGCAGATTAATGTTGACAAAGCAACTAGTTAAATTTACCCAATGAATAGATGATTAAAGAAAAAGTTTGTGGAAAATTGATAGTAAAATGAGTGCTTTGCAAGCATATATTTTATTAATTCTGTCAAAAATGTTATAAAGAGTAGTCGGATATAATATGGTAAATAAGTTTAAAGAAAATCAGTGAATGTATTATATGTAATATAAGTTTAATCGCATTGATATTCCCGCTTGAAAGCTTCGATGGCAGTTTCATTTACATCCTTTGAAGAGTTGTTAAATGATTTTCTATAATTCAGAAAAACACTAAAAGCTTCCCTTCTAATTGGATCTGAATTTCCTTTTGCTTTCATTTCATCCATCCAGTTTTCCTTTAATTCGTCTGTAGAAGTTATCATATTCAGTAAAAGATCTGGAACAATTATTGATTTTGCCTTTGCGGCAGTGTTAAATCCCTTGATATATTCCACTTTTTCCGCAATGGAAGATGAGCGATTGATTGAATCGCCACGATCCAAATAGTTTTGGAGAAAGGCAACGTAATCCGCACTTCCTGAATCATTTATTGAATCGCTGATTGCCTGTTTTAAAGTGGATTTTAAGACATTGACATAGTTTTCGTAAAGGTTCGTCTTGTAAGACTCCAAATCGTTGGCCAATTCACAATAAATGTGTTTTTTTATTGGATCACTTTTGGCTGAAGCCTGTAAATTACCGAAAATTATTATTAAAATTGATTTTTTTCCTTTATAAAATTCCTACCGCAAAGGCTAGGAAAACCGATAAGAGATGGAAAAGCATTTTTTAACTTTGCATTGAACTGCAGCTTACTTGACTTTATATGCTCTTATATAGGATTCGATAGCTATAGTTTATAATCAATGTCTATTAATATATTAGGTAAATGACGTCAATTCATTATTGTAATGATAAGTAAAAGGCAACAATTTCCAAGAAATAACTTTAGATAAATGAACATTGCGTAAATAAGCATTAAAAACATAAAACCTATTAAAAAGTTTACATTGCGTAAATATTTGATATCTTAATTCTTCATTGCACCTTTGCGAGTGTTCAATCATTCATAATTAAAGGATTTTGGGTCACGAATCGTATTCATCATGTGGAAAGGATTCGGTGGCAAAACACACCCGACTATTGGCCACCAAGAGCGTTGCAAGGACTGTTTGCCAAAGAGCAAAGGACTCGCAGGCAACGCAGCCAAATGATTTCCCTTTTTGTTATTCACTGGCCATAGAGAGTGGGCTCCATCCATTTGGCTAATTGTTCAGTTTGTTTTACGTGTAAGGCTACAAATTGGCCGAAGCACACGTTTCCCCCAGACAGCCAGGTAGTCAGTCGGTGCTCGAAACTTGAAACCCGAATGCACGTTCCGCTTTCCCTTACTCACTCCGCCGAAAACACCCGGAAAAGCACCCGGAAAACGTCATGCCGCCTGTCGGGTTCATAATAATTTAAATGCTGGGCACACAGAGTGACATGGCAAAGACAAACAGAGGTCAAGCTGCGTCAGTGGTGCTGTTGCAGTTGGAGCAACTGAAAATGGCTACGTGACCGGATGCACTGCAGCGGTTTGCATTTAAATCCAAAGGCGGTAGCAACAGAATTAGCACGACAAAGGGTCGCCCCAGTCTCAGTCAGAGTCGGAGTGTCCTAACAACCAAAGGATTAGACAGACGGACAGAGAGTAAACCGGGGAAAAGGACGGCTTGAGTTAATTTACCCTGGCAAGCAACAAGCTCTGCGCAAATAGCAAACGACAAACGGTTCTCTAGTCCAGTTCTACAACCATAGCTGTAGCCATAGCCATAGCCATTCCCATTCCAAATCCGAATCCAAAAGGCTTGGGCCTTTCAGATCAACAGCCGAGCAAACAAATGGCGTTGCAATTGAGCACGTTTTTGTCAAGCGATGGAAATGAACTGCGACACACGGTGATTCAGTTTGGCCAACGGCAAGAGTCCAATTCAAAGTCGGAGTCAGAGTTCGGGTTTAAGTTTTAGCCTGTCCAAAGTCTTTGCCCCGGTCTATGTGGCAGGTCAGGTCAAGTGGCATGCGGCATGCGTTGACAGTACGTGCGCCCAAAGATGTTTTCACAGGATGTGTGTGCGGCACTAAGTAAGCAAATTGCTGGGGGTTGAGTGGCAGCTAAACTGTGCTGACTCTTTGGGCTTCCAGTTCCAATAGACAATCAAGAAGTATTATAGACACTTTTTAAAGTAAAGTTTCTAATATTGAAAAGTCTGCCTAATAGATGTCTAATATTAATATTGAGAAACCAGTTTAAATAACTTACCACATCGGTAACTACCTTTGTTTATTAGCTGAGACATTTTTGTGCTTCCCTTTCTTTTACCAATATCAAAAAGCCATATTTGAGGCCAAGCAATCTGCATGTCCCTCGGCTTAATGGCTCGAAAAAATGTAATTGGAAACGGAGCACAGGGACAACAGGGCTGTCCCTTTTAAGTGGAGCGATCACTCTGGCTGCAAGTGGCTAAATGCCTCAATGCATATTGAAGAACAACACGCACCTAGAAAATCCTGGCCAAAAGATGATGGCAAAAAGCCAACCCAAGGGGAGATTGACAAAAAAAAGGCAAGGAAATTGGAGAAGAGAGAAAGGGAGATAGAGAGAGAATAGCAAACAAGGACCTGGGTGAACCGCAAAAAAGGATCAACTTTCGGCCCTGTATTTTTTCTACGTTAGTTTAACAACAGCAGAGGGGTCCGGCATAAAAGAAACATAACTAATTTGCATAAAATGCGGAAACACGGCATCAGCACACAGATATCTCAGTTTTTGGCCGGAACGAGGAACGGAGTTTTCCCAACTTTGTTGACGGAAATCGGGCAAAGTCGCCAGTGGTGAGTTGCCCTCAAAAAGCCAAACCCCGCTGCGGTTTCGACCCTGAGAACTCAGGTACTCTGTGTGTGTGTGTGTGTGTGTTTGCCAAACTTTGGCCAGAATTTACAAAATACTAAACTAAGTGAAAACCACCAAAGTCCAGGCCTGCCCATGTCTTTAAGTGAGCGAAACTTTTAGCATGACAAAGTGAAAGTGGAGTGTATGGATGTGTGGGTGGTTGAATGTTGCCACTGGCCACCATATTAGCGGTTTGCAAAATACTCCAAGATAAGACATAAGACACAGGGCCTACAATGTATCTACAGTAAAAAAGAAAGTCCTAGAATTAACTGGAAATTCAAGAGTCATTGAGATAGATCTATGTATATTTAGCATATCATTATGTAAGATAATAAAAATAATATCCAAAAATATTGTTATATTAAATACTCATACATTTTCCTTACTGTGTATCCGAAACTTTCTCGGGTGTTTCGTATTATGCAAAAGAGTGAAACCTTACAAAGTTGAATATCTTAGCATGCTGATATCATTTTTCCCTGCCTCTTCCATTGCAGCTTGGTCAACCGGACTATGCCTGATGCCACGAATGTCCGAAGGATGGTGAGCCGTGCACTGAGCGTTTGGGAGAACAACTCAAAGCTAACATTCCGCGAGGTATCCAGTGAACAGGCCGACATACAGATACTCTTTGCCCGGTGAGTACTCAAAATTCTAGGGGGAATTTGGGTTTTATATGGATGCACATGAGCATTGATGGTAGATGGGGAGAGATCATAAAAAAGCGAGTCTTTAGTGCCATAAACAAAGGCACATAAAATTGCACTTAAAACCAGGCGAACGATAAATAAGCCAAGTATTAAATCCATGAAACGACCTCGATGATGAAATGCCACCGATGACAAAGTCGATGGGCATGCAAGGAGCTCTGGATCTGGATTCTGGATGGTTTGAATCAAAGAGTTTATGTGGCAGTTGCTTGTTGTTAGATAAGCTGTGAATATGATTTCCCCCTTAACCGTGCTCGTAATTCCTCAGAAACACCAGTCTAATCCGGGACATCCACTTTGAATCTCTCTTTCGCAGACTCGGGCATGGCGATGGCTATAAATTCGATGGACCTGGTCAGGTGCTGGCTCACGCCTTCTATCCCGGCGATGGGCGTGGCGGTGATGCTCATTTCGATGCGGACGAGACCTGGAACTTTGGCGAACAAACCGACGATGACCAAGGTGGGTGCAGTTCATCAAATCCGCTGGCCATGCCACATAATTGCGTTCCACTTTTGACGTAAATTAATTGCATTAGTTTGAAATAGTGTTTTGGCAGTGCAGTCTGGTCTGTGGCTTTTTGGTTTTACACTTAGAGAAATTGGGATATACTAAAATCTTTGATGATCTTGAATTCTTATAGGTTATTAAATTGGCACATAATTTTTTTAAATCTCAAGCCCTTGATGTTTATTGATATCCTGATTGGTATAACTCACCAATATTGTTATTTTTTTTGGTTGTTATCTTAATGATACCCCATATTTTTCCAAGTGCAAGTCGTGATAAACCTAAACCACACGCGGGTAAAATCAATAAATGCTGCATACTTTGCGGCTGAGAATGGTTAGGGATGAAGATGGCCAATCTTTGAGGCCAGGAGAATATAGACTGGCGACGCATTGCCTGCAGCCAGCCGCTTGCGTTTTGTAATTTAGCACAATAAATCGTCAGGCCAGACCTCGTAAACCCCTGGTAAAGAAAACCCCGCAGAAACCGAATTCCGCTTCGGCATTTTTAATGGTTTTTAATGCCAATAAAAAATTGTCAGCATGACGCGTGACGTTGGCAGCCATTTTAAAATGTTGCAAGCGTCGCCATTTTTATGCCACTTACAAAGTCGTCAAGGCGACGAACCCATCTTAACCCCCCTTCCTGTCCCTTTTGTCCAGCCATTAACCAGTCAGCGTATTTATGTTGCATTCCGTGTCCTGTCGTTGCAGGAACCAATTTTCTGAACGTGGCCCTGCACGAACTGGGTCATTCTCTGGGTCTGGGCCACTCCTCGGACCAGAAAGCGGTCATGTTTCCTTGGTACCAGAACAACGAGGTAGACGGAAAGCTACCTGACGACGATCGTAATGGAATTCAGGAGTTATACGGATCGAAACAGAAGATCTGGGGGCCCCTCAGACCACCTACTACACCAACTACCACCACTACGACAATGCGGCCGTTAACCTATCGTCCCGTCTACACACACAAATATAATACCAATAGGGAACGCAATGATCAGGAGGAGCGTTCGAGAGAGTGGGAACGACAGTGGCAGGAAAGAGAGAAGCAAGATCGAGAACGGCAGGAACGAGAGCGGCAGGAACAGGAGCGGCAGCAACAGGAGCGACAGGAACGGAAGCGACTGGAATGGGAGCGACAGGAACGGGAGCGCCAGGAACAGGAGCGCCAAAAACGTATACGTGAGAACTGGGAGCGTAATAGGAATAAGGAACCAGTTACCCCACCAACGAGAACCACACTGAGGCCCACTAACCGGCAATATACCTCTGGGGTACACCGACAGAACCACCACCACAACAAGCCGCAAAAAAACAAACCAGACAACTGTATGACCTACTACGACGCCATATCAATGATTCGAGGCGAACTTTTCATCTTCCGAGGACCAGTAAGATCTTTTAATAGAAAAAAGCTATCGCTATAACCAAATTAACTTTTGAAATCTTCATTCGTAGTATCTCTGGCGCATTGGGAAAAATGGTCTGTATCCAGGTTATCCCACAGAGACTAGAAGGCATTGGTCCGCTCTACCCGAGAATCTCACAAAAGTGGATGCTGTATATGAAAACAAACAGCGTCAGATTGTGTTCTTTATCGGTGAGTTCAACTTATTAACTAATTAGAATTCAAATTAAATTATGTTTTACATCCGCATAGGTCAAAGATATTATGTGTTCAACTCGGTTAATCTAGCTCCTGGCTTCCCGAAACCGCTCGCCAGTCTGGGTTTGCCGCCCTCTTTAACCCACATCGACGCATCCTTCGTGTGGGGTCACAACAATCGAACCTACTTGACAAGCGGCACTCTATACTGGCGTATCGATGATTACACTGGTCAGGTGGAACTGGATTATCCGCGGGACATGAGCATCTGGTCAGGAGTTGGATACAACATCGACGCGGCCTTCCAGTATTTAGATGGAAAGACGTACTTCTTCAAGAATCTCGGTTACTGGGAATTCAACGATGACCGTATGAAGGTGGCCCATGCCAAAGCCAAAAAGTCATCTCGAAAATGGATGCAATGTTCTATGAGTGTCAATGAGGTGGACGACGATCAGAGATGGACGGCGTCCTTGGTTTCTGGGGAAAACGAAAGTAGCGAGGAAACGGGGACAAGTAGCGCCAGGGAACATAGGATCAGCCTGTTCTTGCTCTCGATTCTCCTGTTCGCCATCTGGCGGAGTTAAGATTGAAACCAGGACTTAGGCTAAGCAATCTGTAGCACTAAAGTTATCCTCGTATATTTCATTAAGAAAAATTTAAAGTTATATACAGATCTGTTATGGTTTATTATCCCAAAAAAACATTAGTATTAATCGAATTGGGTACTTTAATTTGATTTTAAAACAATTTAAATTACTTACACAGAAAAATTGCATTCAAACTTAAGCTCTTGCTTTATACTATATAATCTGAGACGACCTAGGACCTATATAGAAAAGCGTAACTGTGTGACAGTCTGGCGCTGAAATGCCTCCAAAGACGACACCAAGCGGCCTTTCCTTAGATATAGAACAAATAAATCAACATTCATGTGAGAGTCGCATATAGATGAAAAATCTACGACTTACCACTGCCCGATTTATTCATGGACACTTGCCAATTGTGCACACTGGCGCCATCTATTGGCAAAATAGCACAGCTGTTTTACCAGATCTATATACCGTAAATATAAGATAAATTCACAATATGATTGATACCATAACTATAATATACTTAAGAATGAAAGAGTTTTATTAAGTAACTACAGAAAGCGACGAAATTTCAATGTTGGATTTCGAAACCACAACTGCCTTATAAATAAGAATAGTATTGCTTTTTATTGATGAACGTCTGATCCGCTTTTCTTGTTTTGATAAACCTTTATAATTATTTATATATAAATGTGATATTATCATAAATTCTGAGCGATTGTACACGAAAGATAATCTGAGCATAAACGAAAAACTTTATATTTTGATTAGTTTTTAGTTTAATTTACATAAGATACTTAAGCTACAGCTTATCTTTTTATACACATATTTACGAAAGGAAACTAAATAAATAAATATAACAATTCGTCACAAAATTAAATTGGGTTTTTAACGATGTATCATCATAACTTCAAATATATTATACAGAATGGAGGTATTTTCCAATTTTTGCCCACTCAAATTCAATGACCCTGATATCCATAAATTTGACATAACCATGATGACGGAGCCAAAAATGAAACCGAAATATTATCGTATACGTATTATCGTATCACAGGAATAAACAAATGTATCATACGCGATAAAATCGTTATCTTCATATAGACAACTCTGAAGGAAATCTGAAAAGTTAGTGTTCTGATAACAATGCCGGGTACCAGGTGAAATTGTTGAAGGCTCTTCAGTAAATCGAATATGTGTAAATATGAATCGAGCATGTCCATCGAAATGGAAACTTCCTGTCGGCTCATCTTTGAGCCAGTGTTATCTGGAGCATTGTAGATCCCCACCGATCGTAAGGGTATTGTAATGATTACATCGCTGCTAATGGCCTCCGATGACATTATCTTATCACCCGGCATTAGCTGCCGTTTGACACAAGGTGCTAATTTAGTGTAACAGTCACCACCAGCTGTAATGGTTTTAATGTGCAAGATCTCTCGCTCGGTTCTGCCTGAATATCGTTTCCATTGCTCTACTGTCATTAGGTTATGCGTCACTTCGCCTCACAGCCGTGACGTCCACAATCGTTCCACCGTCCACCATGTAGTCCCGTCCCCAGAACCATACCCAAAAACGGCGATTCCACGGCGACTCGGTGACAGTCGCGCGCCCACAGTCAAACCCAGCGGTTCAACACTCAATTTTCGCGAGAAGGCGGTACATATCACGTATAATATATATAAACGTATATAATATATACATTCATATGCATATATGTATATAGAACAGCTAATATTAAATTAAAGACAATTGTGAGTAGAGGTCGCGACAACGAAAAGCTAGACCCGGTACGGTTGCTTTGATCCCCAGTGCAAGACAAGCTGATATCTGGGTTTATGAGCACTTGAAAACTGATTGGTGATCCCGGCCGATAAGCGATATCTTACGTTACAGTCTCGGCGGTGTGTTCTTGACTTCAGATAGGTGCATGAGCTCCCATGCTAATTACTTTTTAATATATACGGCAGCTGATAATCGAGATAATTTAAAGTTAACCTAAAGTTTGACACCTTCCAAAGATAAGGTACATTTATGAGATCTCTTATCCCTGTTTGTTATACAATATTTAGGACTGTTATTACAATGGTACTCCACAAATATTTTGATTCCTGCCTAAGCAGTTAATCCATTAATTAGACAGAGCTAGCAAGGTGATTCCATTTGATGAGAAATCTTTAAATTGTTGCTATAAATTCTTGCTTATAGATTCTTGACTAACTTTCCAATTATTCATGATTCATGATTATTACCAACTGGAAATCCAACAGAGATTTAGATCACTACCTAAGTGGCCGCGTTCTTAATCTAATCAAAAACAAGTCCCGAAACCATGTCAAACTTTAGTGACGAAGAATTGGTGGCCATATGGTGTGAGTACTATCTAATCGAACCACCAGAGACACCCGTAACTGTCATAACTAGGCGGAAATTGGGGCCAAAAGCAACCGGTTGACTAATCGCACCTGGAAAAATTTCAATAAATCAAACCTATGCTTTGTATTGAACAGGTAGTGATAAGGAGAGCCTAGCCGAAAGTAACAATGTCGGACACCCATTCGAATTCCTTACGCAGCCTGAGTCCAGAGTTGGCCAAAAAGGCGCATGATGAGCTGGGAGAGGTTCCGGAGCGGATCGATGAAGATATCGAAACTTTGCGAACTTGGATCTCCAAGCAGCCGCATCTGAAGGCTCGTCAAGATGCTCAGTTCCTGGTGGCCTTTCTGCGAGGCTGCAAATACAGTTTAGAGAAAACCAAACTGAAATTGGACAACTTCTATGCCATGAGGGGAGCAGTACCAGAGCTCTACAAGAATCGCATTGTAGGCGAGAAGCAGCTGAGCATTTTAGAAACTGGGTGAGCTCAAGAACTGATAGTAACATGAACAACCAATAATAGTTTATTTAATAATATAGTTGCCTTCTCCGATTGCCACAACCATTGAAGGCAGATGGTCCTCGCATCCACATCTCCCGCTACGGTCAATATGACTCCAAAAAGTACTCCATTGCCGAGGTCATCCAGGTGAATACGATGATTGGTGAGATTCAGATACGTGAGGACGACAATGCCATGATATCTGGCTTTGTGGAGATCATCGATATGAAGGGTGTTGGGGCGGGACATATATTCCAGTTTGATGCTGTGCTGGTAAAGAAACTGGCCGTTCTGGGTGACAAGGCTTATCCCTACAGGCCCAAGGGCTTTCACTTTGTCAATGCACCCTCCAGTGCCGAAAAGTTCATGTCAATTGCCAAGAGTCTAATGAGTGAGAAGATACGAAAGCGGGTGAGTTTCTTAAATTGAGCAATAAATTGGAAGATATAATATCAATTTTCCTCTATAGTTCCACATACACTCTAAACTGGAAACCCTCTATAACTATGTGCCCAAGGAGTGCCTGCCCGCTGAGTATGGTGGCAGCAATGGAACCGTACAAGATGTGGTCAGTACATGGAGGACAAAGCTCTTGGCCTACAAACCTTTCTTCGAGGAGGAGGTTTCCTATGGCACAAATGAAAAGCTGAGACGAGGAACACCCGTCAGTGCTGAATCGCTGTTCGGAATTGAAGGATCCTTTAGAAAACTCGATATCGACTAATGTAGACACTTCACATAGCAAATAGTAATCTTTAATCATTAACTTTGTACAAATGCAGAAAAATCGGAACTAAAAAACTAAAAACATGAATAACTGGCAGTTGATATTAAATCTCAAAATGTGTCGGGCGGAAAGTTGTGGAATTTTCACAACTTGGCAACAATTGGATGCTTTGCTTTTTGGTTAATAAAAGTCAGTGACTCGTCATGATAGGGATTAGTGGCTTTCCTGACACGTTCCAGCCATTTGGCCACCTTCGGAAACTTGTTCTCATCCACTTTGTATTTGCACAGCCCTAAAAATTAATAATACTTATTAAATTCCTTGAAGACTATCCATTTCACTTGAACTTACTGAGTTGATTGATTTCGGAAGAACCAAGGATATCTGCCATCGTTAGACTCTGCCCGACCAGAAAGTCCTTTTCCAGCCACAAACGCTCCAGAAGCCCTAAATTTGTTTCCACTCCCTCAACCAGCTTTTGTATTTGACCCGGATTGGGCTTGGGTGTTATACCATTCATGGGAAATAGCCAAGCATCTCGAAAGTACAAGGTACACGCAAGTCTTATATTCAGGTGTTGCCACTCAAGGAACTCATCCACTCGAGCACGGGCCTCCAATGTTTTTGGGTAGAGCTTTTCATCGAACTGACCTTTGTCGGCGAGATAACTACAGGGGACAATGTACGACCTACATATGAGAAGTAAGCCAAAAAAGAGGATCCCTTACCGAATAATGGCAATAGTTTCGGACAAATGGAAGTCACCATCCACTATGGCGGGAACCTTCTGAAAACGATTGATCTTCTTGTACTCCTCGGTCAATTGCTCAACTAAAAATAATAAATAAATAAATAAAATAAGCCGGCGAAGCATAAATGAATTACTTTTACTCACATTTACGGAGGGCAACAGGGCAATATTCAATCGGGCTCTTGCCGAATTTTAAGCCCAGCCAGAGGCCACGGGCAATCGGGGACAATAAATCGAAATAGAATCTAATTGGCTTGGACATGGCGGTCAATTGCTCAGGTTCTTGAAGCCAATCTGATGGACAGCCGGCTATTATATGTAGAAATCCCACCAGCTGGCAAAAGAGAAAACAAACAAAGCTCCAGTCCAAAGATCAACAGCGCCAACTTGCAGCACTGGTTGGGTTATTATGGTTGTCCCGCTCTAGGGGGCAAATTCAAAGAGTGGTCTTCAGAGTTGGGAACTCCGAATATATTGTATTACTTCATAGTGAGAAGATAACCAAGCTAACACAGCTCAGGATGATACTTCTTTAATACTAATCATCATTAATAACATTCTTACTTTTATATTTAAAAAGTCTTTAATTGATTTAACATTTAGAGGTTGCCAAAGTATAATTAAAAACAAGAGGGAACGCTATAGTCGGGTGCCGCGACTATAAGATACCCGTTACTGTTTTACACAATTTTAAAATATTATTTTGCTAGTGGAAATTCACAATGCGCCACCTATTGTTAGAGGAAGTATGTTGAGTATGCTTATAGTGACGTCACTGCCCATGTGAGGGCTTATAACTTAATTTCTTTATAAACAGCGAAATAATGTTCCGATTTGAAAACTCTTTTGTAAATCGATAGATATTAACAGAAATAAGTTACACAAGGTCGAACGAAGGCATTCATAATAATATTATAGACGCCACAGTTTTCCGCGGTTTGTGGGCGTTAGAGTGGGCGTGGCTCGGTGCAACTTCGTGGCAAGTTGCAGATGCATCTTCTTAATAGGTGCTCCTAAGCAAAATTGTGTAGATCTTATAGTTTTTGAGATTTTTGCATTTTTGGTTCTTCGCGTTTTGTGTGCGTTAGAGTGGGCGTGGCTTGATCGGAAAAGAACAATTCGCATTGGGAGCATCATAAAAACCTACATGCTTAATCTGAACTTTCTATTTCTTATAGTTACCGAGATATCAGCTTTTCTAGAAAATCCGAAAACCGTCTGTTGAGCCTTGTGGGCGTATGGGTGAGTGTGGCCGGATAGTAGGTCCACTATAAGATGCGTTGCCATCTAAAGATTATACTTTCTGAAATTCAACTTTCTAGCTGCAATAGTTCCTGAGATTTCAGCAATTTTAGTTTTTTGCGATTTGTGGGCGTTAGAGTGGGCGTGGCAGGATGCTGTAATAAACTTGCGCTGTCCCGGGACCTCAAGAATCTTCATGCTTAATCTCAACGTTGTATCTGCTATAGTTCCTGAGATCTCAGCGTTCATACGGACGGACGGACGGACGGACGGACGGACGGACGGACGGACGGACGGACGGACGGACGGACGGACGGACGGACAGACGGACATGGCTCAATCGACTTCGCTATTGATCCTGATCAAGAATATATATACTTTATAGGGTCGCAAAAGCTTCCTTCTATCTGTTACATACTTTTCAACGAATCTAGTATACCCTTTTACTCTACGAGTAACGGGTATAACAATAAACATGAAAGAAGGCACAATGGTTACAGTGATGTCTTAAAAGAATAATAAATGCAAATAACACGATGATTGATTAAAATTTGAAATATTTATATTTTGGCACTGGCAGTCTGTTTGGAGGTCTTGTATAGAAAACTATGGGCCTCATCATGATAAGGATTGGTGGCATCTCGAACCCGCTCCAGCCACTTGGCTACCTTGGGAAATTGCTTCTCATTTACATTGTACTGGCACAGCTCTAAAGTAGTTCGAGTTTAGTATCAAAACTTATGTCTTAAGATCTTTTAGGGAGACTTACTCATTTGATTGATTTCGGAAGCTCCAAAGATATCCGCCACGGTGAGTTTGTCTCCAACTAGAAAGTCCTTCTCCAACCAGATACGTTCAATAAGGCCTAAATTTCCCTCCACATCCTTAATAAGCTTCTTAACAGCCTCGGGTTTTGGAGCCGGAGCAAGTCCCTTTGCCGGTAATAGCCAAACCTGGCGGAAGAACAGGGAGCAGACCATGCGAACATTAAAGTGCTGCCATTCCAGGAACTCATCCACTCGGGCTCGACCCTCCAGCGACTTGGGATACAGCTGCTCGCTGAAGACACCTTTGTCCGCAAGATAACTAAAATATTGGAGGTAATTTGAACTAATTACTTATAGATTTGATGGATATCTTACCGAACTATAGAGACACTTTCACCTAGCTGAAATTTACCGTCCACGATGGCCGGAACCTTCTGGAATCGATTGATGTTCCGGTACTCATCGGTCAATTGCTCCTCTGGAATAAAGATATCAAAGGCATTATATCAGCCGGCTTTATGAGTACCTTGTTGTTTATACTTACGTTTTCGCAGGGCCACTGGGCAATCTTCAAAAGGGGTCTTGCTCAATTTCATTCCAATCCAAATAGCGCGAGATGGCTGGGACAGAAAATCATAATAATACTTAATTGCCTTTGACATTTTGACAAATTAATTTTAAATTTTTACTAGAACAATAAGGTAAACACAGCCCAGATGGAATGTCAAAAGTCTGGGGAGAAAAAGCTTTATGTCGTTCAAAGTCCAATTTTGTCGGTTTTCAACACTATAAAATATAATATATAGTCATCTCACTCTATCGAAAATTCAAATTGAGCGGGTAAAAATACAAATTCAAAAAAGTCAGGTAAAAAATAATATATGAGATAAATTTCAAAGCTCTTACCTTGATTTTGACATAAGCAAAAGTGTATTGATTTTACTTATCAAAAGTTTAGTTCAAACATCCATCAGTCAGCCATTAGGCGTTTATCTATGTCAGATAAAGCTTATTGCCCCCCATAAACTTAGAAATTTAACCCACAAGTAATGGTAATAGCAATTAAGTTTTTAGTTGTACAGACATTTAAACAAATTCGCTTTAATTTATTAACACACTCAACATGGGGTCTACAATACATTGTCACTTTTAACTTTAGTCATTTAACTATGTATGTATTATCCATAAATATAGATGCATGTATATGTGTAAACTAGTATCAAAAATTAGTAGAAACGACACTTAACCAACGGAAAAAAATATCGAAAATATATATATATATTCATGTACCGTATGTATAAAAATATGCGATAAAATAAAAGCCAACAACAACTTAGCACGCAAGTAGAAGACGTTGAGGATTTCATCATGAAAATGCATTATGGGATCATGGTAGGATGAATCGTTTGGGTATATCTGTATATATATTTAACCCTCGCGACCGGACGTTAGAATGTGTTAAGTATGTGCGTTGATAAGGACAACAATAAATTAAAATCGACAATAATGTGAGGTTTTTGTGCCATTTGATGGCGTTACATTTTCTTCTTATTTCTTTTTAGTGTGCACTTGTTTATCATATTGTTCAATTTGCTTTTAGTTTCGATGTTTATCGTTTATGGTTCCATTTTATAAAATATCAGGTTCTGCTATGACCAAAGATCGCTATAGCGCTGTAGTGTCTATACAATCCAGTGTATATATATATTTATATACATATATATCGGGCTGTGTATTTAGAGGGGCGTACTTATAGGATGTGCATCAAAATATACAACTAACTGCCCGGGGTCAACGCCTCAATCGAAGTTCAACTTTCGGAAAGTTCCGTCGTTCGGCACTCCGGCCACCAACGGAGCGGCCCTCCCCTGTTCTTTCTCGCTGGCCGCTCGCAATTTCTCGTCCACACCATATCGCTCGTCTTCCATAAAGTACGTGGAGAAGCTGGTCAACTGGGTCTCGTATCGAGACATAGCATCCGCCAGGGAGCCATTCTCGCCGCCCATCTCTGCTGGCAAATACTCTTTGCCGATGGCCTTTTGCAGGGACTCGAGGTTAGAGTGGATGTGTAGCTGCAGGAACAGAGTGGTCAACTATAGTATATAGAGGCATATCCTTTTAAACTCACCAGCTCCTTTTGCTTCATGACATTTCGAACTAATCCCAGGACAAACTGTGTCTCTCTGGAGGCATTTACGATGTGAGTAGCCACTAAATTCGCTGGAATACCATGCTCTAGGAATGCATTCATCCTTTTGAACATGCCTGGATCGAACTGCAGCAGCAGAGAGTAGGGGATTTTGGTAAAGTCGATAATTTCCACAACGCCAGACACGTTCCAGTTGTCGTCCGTGTTGAGCTCGATCTCGGCGCGGAAGGCATGGAATCGAAAGATGTCGCTGACACTGTGCTTGGAAGGTTCAATGTGGCCCATTCGTGTGTAGTGGATACGTGGGCCACCAGGGCCAATAGGGTTGGGCAATGTGGCGAATATTCTACGATAAATGCACAGCTATTAAAGTCTATTAACTTCATTTGAAGGGGAATCCCCAACTTACCCTGAACGAGCCAGTTCCAGCAGCTTATCGTCTACCAAACGACTTTTGAGCAGTTCTCGCTCCTTGGACTTGTAGCTGTAGTAGAAGAGCACCCGTGTTTTGGCCTCCTCTACGTCCCAGTGGCAGAAGCGCAGGAAGGCCACCAGGAACTGATCGTCTGTTCGCGCCTCCAGGTAGTTTTGCTCTACAATCCAAGTCCGCAGGGCCTCGATCTTGGCGACCACAGTGGTCGAGTCTTCGCCAAGCTGAGATCGAGCCACCTCGGCTAACTCCGGGACTAGGGTTCGTATCTTGGCCATGGTCACAGGGGATCTGGAATACGATCGAAACTTGCCTTAAATTTTGAGATACGAAGCCAAAGGTTGGGAGTGTGCTGAAGTGTGTGTGTGCTGTGGCCAGGTGCGAACACGACTAATCGAAATTTCAGTGCCCGCCTGCCTAGACAGGGTTTCCATTGTATTGTAGAAAGGGAACCCTTCCAACTGATTCGATAGCTGGCACACTGGTGCAAAGGCACCTAAAAAACTTTGCAACATGGAGCAAACTCACAGTGACAAACAATTTGTAGCTGCAGATTGTGCGATATCAGTGACCGATAGAGCAAACACAAATAGCCAGGTTTAGTAGATATGATAACACACCTGCTAGGTCCAGAAGTACTTAAGTAATTAAAGTTTAATTTAATATATTTATGATTATTAGATTAAAGTATAAATAATATTTAATAACCTTGTAGGTGGAGCTAATGTTTGTTATCTATTTACTACTATATATTTCTTAACTCAAACTTAATGATCTGAATTAGGGATTTCATGTACTTTCTGGACTGATAATTGATTGACTTTGACTTTTGTAAACTAAAAATATATATGTATATAATCTTTTTCTTAAAATAGCAATATTTCCACTTGAAAAGGCATCAACTTTTAAAGCCAATCATTGGGTTATTCCAGCCAACTGTGCCTTTTCGATTCAGCGATAAGATATGGAGATAAGCTGTGGCGTGGTTCGATCCCCTAACTCTGCCAAAATAGCTTCCCCAGCAGCTGCACACATATTCGCCGATGCAGTCAGACCGTAATCTTATCTCCTCTGGCGAGAGACTTCGACCGCCCACACACCGGATCGGTTTGGATCGAATGGGGCGTCTGGCCAAAATGAGAGCAATAGGAATAGCCATGTCCGTTATCAGCTGAATGAGTGGCCATAAAGGCACTAGATTAGCTTTTGACGGTTACGTTTCGGCCGGAGATTTCGGCTGCCGTGTGATTAGAGAAAGCGTTTAGTAGCCATCCAGCTGCCACGAAGCAAGCGACTTCCCAGAAATGGCCGAACTGCGTCCCCTGAGCGCCGAACTCCGTCGCATTGCCGAAACGGAACTAAACGAGGTGGAGGATCGGGTATCCACCGATTTAGTAGCTCTGCGGGATTGGCTGGCTAAGCAGCCGCATCTAAAAGCTCGTCAGGATGATCAGTTTCTGGTTGGTTTCCTTCGGGGCTGCAAATTCAGCCTGGAGAAGACCAAGTCCAAATTGGATTACTTCTACACCATCAAGACCCTAATGCCCGAACTCTTTGGCAGTCGATTGGTGGACGAGAAGAACTTAGCTTTGTGTCGAACGGGGTAAGTGGACTTCACATAATCAAGTCAAGGAGATAGGATAAGCCAAGAAATTCTTTCAGAACCTATGTCCGTTTGCCAAAACCTTGGGGAGTAGCTGGACCCCGCCTGCAGCTTACAAATTATGAAAAATTTGATCCCAAACAGTTCAAGTTACTGGATCTCTTCCGCTACCAAACGATGCTTTCGGAGCAGGCAATCCGTGAGGATGACAATAGCAACATTAGTGGCTACGTCGAGATCATTGACATGGCTAAACTGAGCCTTAGTTTTTTGGCCCAACTGGATTTTACCCTTATCAAAAAAATGGGTATATTCGCAGAGAAAGCTCAACCCACTCGCCTGAAAGGAGTGCATCTCATCAATTGCCCCAAGGAGGGAGTGGCTCTCTTGAATCTGGCCAAGAGCCTTATGCCCAGCAAGCTCCAGCAACGGGTGAGTAACCAAGAATAGCTGAATAATCAGTGGCACTTCGGCTAATTTATTTTCGTCGCTTATCGGACACTTCACGGGGATTATCAGCTGGTCTGACAGCGAGCTGTTGATAAGCGTTAAAGAGCTACACCTCTCTCTCACCCTTGAACCGTTAATTAATATTTCACAAATCAGAGCAATTAACTTCCGAGCAATGCTCACATATTGTCAAGTGCAGCGTGTGGAAAGGCATTGCCTAAGGTCAGTTGACCAACGCACATGGGCTCTTATCATTGAAATGTTAGGCCGAGGCCTAGAGAAATATACATACAGGGAATTGCGAAAAGATATATCAGCAAGCACGACAACAATCCGTATGACGTATGACTAACACTTAACTTTTTACAGTTTCACGTGTACAAAAATCTGGAGCAATTATACGAGGTAATACCTCGTGAATACCTTCCGGAGGAATATGGAGGCACCAATGGACGTATAACCGATATTCAAGCGGAGGCCGAGAAGCGATTGCTGTCCTACAAGAACTATTTCGCAGAGGATTCCCAGTACGGAGTGGATGAACATCTACGTCCTGGAAAGCGTGTTAGTGCCGATTCCATTTTCGGTGTTGAGGGATCTTTCCGAAAACTCGACATCGATTAAAGCCCGACGATGTTCAAATTAGTTATTTAACGAAAGGGTAGAATCGTCTCAATTAAAATCAGTAAATTCAAACCCAAAAATTGTTCACTTGACTTCATGAGAATCGCCGAGAGAGGCCCGACAGATGGCCAAATCACTGAGCCATTAGCTTTTAGTAAGCGCTATCTCTGACACTTGTTAATGGCTTTGTCAATCAGCAAACAGAATTAAGAGGGATTACTTTTTGGTCATGTTAATTTGCTGCACCCGAAGGCAGTTCCTCTGCGGAAGGCACCCAAGCAGGAAGCCAACGGAATGACCTCGTTCTCGAGCAGCAATGAAGTTCGTAGGAATAAATTTACTAACTGCAGATTAGTTCAATGTTTATCCCTTAGTTCGACTTCAGCAAATGGGATTTCCCAGCCGAGCGCATCTGGTTGCACAAGCCCAGCGGCGAGATAACCTGGAAGATCTGCACATTTGTGCCACTTATTGCCTTTGGTCTGTATGGAAACTTCACCATGGTTTATCTGATAGCCACGAATCGCTCTTTAAGATCGCCCACCAATTTGATTATTGCCAATATGGCTGTGGCGGATCTGCTGACTTTGGCTATTTGCCCAGCAATGTTTATGCTAAACGATTTCTATCAGAACTACCAATTGGGCTGTGTGGGCTGTAAGCTAGAGGGTTTTCTGGTTGTGGTTTTTCTCATCACAGCTGTGCTCAATCTTTCGGTGGTTAGCTATGATCGTCTAACGGCCATCGTGTTGCCAATGGAGACACGTCTCACTATAAGGGGAGTCCAGGTCGTTGTGGTCTGCACCTGGATCCTGGGTATTCTGTTGGCATCCCCGTTAGCTTTGTATCGATCTTACAGGGTGAGAATCTGGAAGAACTTCACAGAGCGATATTGCAAGGAAAACACATCCATCCTTCCCAAGTACTGGTATGTGCTTATTACCATTTTGGTGTGGTTACCACTGGGCATCATGCTCATCTGCTACATAGCCATATTTTATAAGGTAAGCAAAGAAAGTACTTTCACTTTGGATATTCTTCTAAAAAGGAACTTCGAACACAGCTTGATCGGTATGAAAAACGAGTACTAAGTCGAGAGAATCCGCTAACAGTCAGCTACAAACGAAGCGTGGCCAAAACCCTTTTCATTGTGGTCGTGGTTTTTGCCGTTCTCCGTCTGCCATTTACAATTCTAGTTGTTCTACGAGAAAAATACTTCGATGAAGACGTTTCAGTTAGTAGTGGAATGCAACTATTCTGGTATATCTCCCAGTATTTGATGTTCCTTAATGCCGCCGTCAATCCTCTCATCTATGGATTTAACAATGAAAACTTTAGAAAGGCTTATTATCAAATTTCCTGGGTTCGGCGATGGAAAGACGCTTCGAAAATGAAGAAGGCTTCTGGATCAAAGCATTGCTGTTACTGTGCTTTTATGAAGAAGGGTGAACGAAAGGCAGAAGAACCACAGCAGCCTGCGAACGTTGATAAGGACTTGAGCAAGGATATATCTATTGAAGAACCGACGGCCAAGACAACTGAGAGGATTCGAGATGATCCTGCTGATTCACTTGCACCGGAAATTGAGGCAGACGGATTTATATAATAATAATAATAATCTGTAAGCGTTAATCAAATATATCAATATATAAATTTAAAGACTCTTACGGCCCATCAGTTCTGATATACCCACTAAACTAAAGGGTATTTTAACAGCTGACAATATCTCTATCTCAGAGCTTTAATAACCGTTGGTAAACCTACTCTTGGTGGTAAAAACTATTTATCAAAAAGTGCACGTGGTACAGTTGTACACAGTATTTCGTTTTGTATCGTTTACAAAAAAAAAATATATGTATCAAATGTGTCGCGTTTTGTTTATATTGATATTTGTGTGTACTATCGCCCAGGGGATCAGTTTAGAAGTAAACTTCCAAGAATCCTATCCCACACACATCCTCAATTCCGATCAGGAATCGACTCTCCATAAACGAGGAACTGATGTTCCTCAATTTTTCGATCAAGGTTTGAATAGAAATAACAAAATTTATTTACATTTTGAATTTTGCTGGCCAACTCGCTCAGGCTAAACCAAACAATTCAGACTTCATATAGCCAAAACCGTGGGCCTCGAGGAAGCGGATGAACTGACCCATGTTCATCACGCCTTCCTCGGCGTTGAATAGCTGCTCACTGAAGTCCTCGAATCCCCGTTTACGCTGCCGCGGTTCGGTTCGTACCACACTAATTTTCTGCCAGCGTAAGGCCTTGATAGTGCGCCAGAACTCCTGGACATTCTCGGATTCACCTTCTACGCATATGATGCCTGGGTTGCCAGGTCGACTAAAACCAGTGAGTTCTAATTGTCGGGCCTGACGAATCAGCTCCTGACGCTTGGCAGTGGATTTTATGTGGTGGGAATAGATCCATAAGCGCTCCAGGTGGGAAGTTGCAGGTTTTGTACTATCTTGCTGTTCTGCAACCGTCTCTGCGAACTCGGATTCCGGTCGTTTTAAAAGATCTTCGACGTGTTCTTGCAGCCAGCTGAGCATCTGAAAAATATACGGCTCGCTGTCCTCCTCTCCTCTTTCGCTTTGATACTGCTCCATGTCAATTTTCAAGCGATGCTCTTTTGATTTTCCTAGAAGTGGAGTGTGCACACTGAGCCGCGCCTACTCCAAAAGTGGATACAGATGCGGCAGCTCCACTCGAACTTCCACATTTCGATTAGCCGACAGATTTAACTTTACAACATACTCCAAATGCGATCGAAGACTGGCAGTGGGTTTTGGTATATCTTGCTCAAGGAACTCATTAAAATCGGCAACTACGCCGGCATCAAGCATTTCCAGCTCTCCGGATGCACAATATATGGAGTTCAGTAGTTCCAGCTCTTCTAGCTGCTGTCCAATGCAGCGGCGGTAGGTGTGTAGCTCCTCCTCGGCCATGGCTAACGGAGAGTTAGAGAGAATTGTTTGGTTTAGTCAGCGGCGGCGGATTGCTTATGACCCTAACCTAGAGTTGAAAGCTAAAAGCTAAAGCAAAAAGCTTGTAGAAAAAGATGAATTTTTAAACTTAATATAGAGATTATTGCCTGATTTATTTAACTCGCAGCTAGCTTTAGTTTCGATGGCCTCAAGCGAGTGGCCTCAGTGCCAGTTCTTTTTCCCCTGGACATCTGCATCCTCCAACTGCCCACGGTAAAGTATGCAACAGCACTTCACAAAGATGCAGCTGGTGTGCGTCATTTTGCCGTGTTTACGTGGCGTCCAGCGGAGCAGGACTATCAACTCCTAGTGCAACTGCCAGCACCAAAAGCGATGGCTCTGGATTGCCTGGCCTTTGCTGGACGTGGATACGTGGCTCTGAGCTACAACCTAACCGAACCTGTTCGCCAGGCACGTGAAGGATCACCCATCTATGAGCTATCGCCGGAAACGGGTATACGGACAGTGCAGTATTTTTCGGGAACGCAATTGCGGGGCATGTACCTACGAATCAGCAGCCAGGAACTGACTTTACTGCAAGCCTTCGACTCAGCGGAAAAGTGTCCTTACTTTAAGTGGATGGGTAAGAGTTTCCGACGACTGGGAGCAATACCCTGTAACAATGCTAGACGATTGGAAGCCTTCGGTATCGACTATACCGACTACGTGGCCGTGGCCAACTATGCTGATTCAGAGGGACGTACTGCTACGCGTTCAGAAATCTTTAGATGGGATACCAAAACCCAGAGGTTCCAGCTCTTCCAACGTCTGCGCAGCAATGGAGCAGTGGACGTGAAGTATTTCAGTCTCCCAGTAAACGAGGTCAGGCGTAGGCACTTTCTCATCTTGGGAAACACAGTTGGTGGAACCGGCGCGGAAGCTGGCGAAGCAGACACTGTTATCTATGTCTTCGAAAAGGGACAATTTGTGCCCTATCAACGGTTAAGTTTCTTTGCATTGGAAAGGGTTCTGCCAGTTCAGGTAGTTAGGGATTTGGGTATTTATGACGTCCTTATAATTTGCAATCTTCTTAGCACTCCATCTCTGAGAAGTTCCTACTATTGGTGGCATGCAATAGGCAGGATGTAAGCATATACAATCTAAACGACTGGAGATTCGAGGAATCCAAGGTGCAATTCACCGAAGGACCTTTTAGCCGTGGAGTGGCCAGAATGAGAAGTTATGAGGAGGGAGATCAAAGCTATTTAGGTAGGTATCCATTCGGGGTTTTAAAATGTCAAAAACTTACTTTTTACTTTCCCAAGTTATTGCCAACGAGAATATGGCCGCCAATGAGACGAACATCTTCCAACCGCTCTACAAACAGGATGAGCATGCCAATATACTCCGCCAGCAAATCATTGACTGGGCTCGAGAGCAAAGAAAGCGATTGGAGCTAGTGAATGTAGAGCAGCTTTTAAAGAGACTGGAGGTAAGTAGAGTATAGTATAAGATTCCGTACAGTAAACAACAGATTTTACTACATATAGGAAAAGCTGAAGCAACGCGAGGAGAAACTAAAATGGTCTGCAATCAAACAAGTGAAAGCGAAAGCGGTAAGCTAAGTATTAAAATTATCTTCAAGTTATGTAACGTATGTTTAGTTTGAGGATAAAAACATGAAGCTAACACAGAACTACTGGAAGGCTTTAAAGTTAACCAAACAGGCTTTGGATGAACTCGAACGGAAAGCGGAATCAGCGATGTCGAGACAACCCATGAAAAGATCCGCTGACGAACCAAGTGATAATATTAACTTCGAGGAGGTCACAGTTGACACCCTGGTGGTGCATGGCAAAGTACAAGCAGATCATATTAATGGCATTGATACTAAGAACCCCGTTTACGAATCCGTGACTGCAGGGAAAGTTTTTGTGAGCGAAAAATACACAGAACCCGCAAGGATAAAACAGAAACCGATGCTTGAGGAGTTGAAAGTAAAAGATTTGCAACTAAAGGGTAGGTTCAATGGCCTCAAATGGGAAGAACTTTTGGAATTGACTCTAAAACGCAGCGGTAAGGAAGTCCAGTTTATCAAGGCTCGTGTAGATTTGGACCACCTTCAAGCTGAGACTGTGCAGGTCAATAACAAAGAAGTTAACGATCGCCCGCTTGGACAACTTATTCCGGTGGATGGTGGAAACTTCATTGTACAGCAGGATGTGCAGTTTGCACAGCCTATCCAGGTCAATCGGCTCCTTATCAACGACCGGCTTAACCACATCCATGTCGATCGCCAGCAATTTGATGTGCTGCTCAAGCAAGCGAATCACACTCAGGTCATCGAGGGTTCCAAGCGATTTGAGAATGTTCGTGTTCTAGAACCAATTACCATTGCGGTGGGTAACCCCAAATATCTTTAAAAATAATCTTATAATAAACTCTTTAGGGCCAAATGATGGGGGCTGATTTAAGAGCCATGTCACCAGCAAAGGTTACACACAAATCAATACAACTTCAGGGGGATTTTGTTATTGACAGCGATGTGACCATTGGACGGCTTCTGCAAATTAAAGATTTGGTAGATGAGCCCACTAAGCGATCAGCAGCAGAAACCTTAAGTCGTGGTCTGCGATTGGATCATCCCATAGAGGATGTGAATATAAACTTTCTACAACCTCTTATAGCCAACGATACGGAGTTAAGCTTCCTTAACACCCAAGACCTACAAAATCTGGTTAAACTAAACGTGGATGAAGTCCAGTTGGTGCAAGGAAGTAAGACGTTTCCTCAGAGTCTGGAGATAGTTGATGGTTTTGGTGAGGTCAAATGGCTGAATGGCATTGATACGGAGAGACTCCCAGAAATACTGCTGACAAAGAGTGGCAATCAAACTATTTATACTCCAATGCAAGTCCAAAGCATCGAAGTGGATCAGGTGAATTCATCCGAGCTTTTATTGAATGGCTTCAGATTGGAGGACTATCTTCAAGTTGGCACGGATCAGGACTCAAATGGAACCTTGTATATAGACAACTTGGAAGTAAAAGAGATGGGCGTGGAAGACCTGTACTTAAATGGCCTCCTCTTTGGCCAACCACTGTCTTCCATATATGATCATGGAAGCAAATCCCTGGACAGCTGGCATGTTCCACCTAATTTTAATGGCACATTGTCTGCACAGAATCTTTGGCTCAGTGGCAACATAAACCAAGTGAACGTGAATCACTTAGAGCAGCAGTTGCAACAGCTGGCGGGCAACATCAAATACGTGGGTGACTTTATCTTTGAGCAGGAAGTTAACATTAGTTCTCTAACATTTGAGAACTCCCTGAACGGAATTGAAGCCCATAGATTTGGTCACTGCTGGCTGGAGACCGAAGGCGATCAGAATTTTACGGCTCTATTGGAACTGGCTTCATTGGACAGCAATGAAGGCATTTGGCTAAGTGGACAACTGAACAACCACACTTTACAAGATCTCGTAAATCGTAGCTATAGGCTCAACGAATCGGAACACCTGCAAGCAGTGCGATTTGGTGAGCATAAAAAGATTTATTTTAATTTTAACAACTATAAAAAAGTTACCTCTTAGAAAATCCCATTGTGTTGCAATCGGAGCTTGTGTTGAATCAACTCAATGGGCTCCGAGTGCCGGAGGATTTGCTCTACCAAAATGGCGGAGGTTACATCTCTGCTCCAGTTAGCATAGAAGGTAACTTGAAGGTAGCAGGGTTGTCTAACATTACCAGCCTGAATGGTTATCCTTTGGATGAGTTGGAAAAGTATTTAAGTGGGCAAACTGATGACACCTTTTTAGCAGAGAATGTAAAGTTCAGTGGAGCACCCACTTATCAGTTACTTAATGGTCAGAATCTGGACAACCTCCTGAATGAAGTTTGGCTGGACAACGAACGGATTGAACTAAGAGAATTGAAATTGGAATCTGGCCAATTTGAAGGACTGCTGGAGTTCCAGGTGGGTGGAGAACCTAGCAAAAACTTACAGCTTTTTTTAAGAAAACATTTTGTCCAATAGGGACCCATTAATGGGCACCAAGTGGATCACATCAAAAACAACTATTTCAGCCGGACGCGCAGTAATCAGATGAAAACTCCCCTGAGCTTCCAGCATGACGTCACGTTCGCACAGCCTCCAGTCGCAAAATATGTTGAACTACGACGTGGCAATAGTGACGTTTTAATGGAGGGCACCAGCAGGTAAGTGAAATTGGCCAAATGATCGCGGTGCAAAGTGTAATGGGCAGGTGGTGTATTGTAAGTATCACGTTTCACTTTCGCAATTGTTTACGCGCTAACAGTTTTAGAGTCACTGCACCAGCACTAGTCAGCTGTGCATTCCGTTTGGCAGGTGAAATTTCTGTACACGTTTGCAGTTTACGCGGGGAATGCGGGAGTTGCATTCGTTAATAACACTTGCAGGTGTGCTTTAATTACCTCGTCAATTGGTCACTGATTGGGTTTGGTTAAATGCACTTTTTACGGTCGGGCAGTTTCGGCAGAGCAGAGGTTTGTGATTTGAAACAACAAAAACGCCTTGGATGGAATCCCAAACGCTTGTGAACTAGCGATGACAGTAACATCGATATACCAATAGATTCGGAACGCTTATCGGTTAATTCAGAGATCGTTAAATTTAAAAATGAAAGATTTTTATTATAATTTTTTTATTGTACTGCTCTTATAATTTGTATTATAATAAGAGATAAACTTTTCTTTTCCTAGCAACTTCTCGCTGGATTTTGATGATTTTGTAGGACACACTTTAAAAACAGCTGGAGCGCATACTATTAGCGGAAAATGGCATCTGGGTGAAGCCTCGGTATTCGGAAATTTAAATAATGTGCTCATAAATCAACTCAACCTAGTTGATGATGTAGTTAGAATTCCCGAAAATAATAGCAGTAACAGCCCCTGCACAATTCAGGCACTGAAAACCGTAAAGAGAGCCAATATAAGTCGGCTATATATAACACCTGAAAGTCAGGTGGCGAATGTTCCTCTGGCCAAGTGGATAAATGAAGCTGTCTATCTTTACGGGAACCACAGCATTACTGGCACTACCCGCCTGGATAACGTGAATCTGTACAATGACCTTGTTGTAAATGGACCTGTAAACGGTATCATCTGGAAGCCGGAAAATCTGCTTTTACTAGACAATGATCAGGAAGTACAGGGCTCTCTGCTGGTAACCAACAGTCTGCCCGATCGGCAGCAAATCTATAGCAACAACGTTGAGAATCTCTGGGTAGATTCCGTTAATGGATTGCCAGTAAACGAGTTACTGGCCAACAAGGCACAAAACCGTCCAAACCTTCACGTTGAGAGCCAATTGATCTTCACTCAGCCATTAACAGTGGGTCAATATGATGTGGGAAATGAAAATGGTCTCTATGATAATTATTTTAAGTGGAAACGGGGTACCAGTGCAAATACCCTTAAATCTTGGCAGAAACTTCAGGAAAATATAGCAGCTGTAAAGTCCAGATTGACGAGTAAGTGGAATATAAATAGATCAAGAATTATGTACTTTTAGTTATATTATGCTCCTCCAACAGATCCACCAAAAGTTCTGGAAAACTTTTCGCTGCTGCAGAAAATTCCTCATCAAGCATCTGAAATGAAAATGATCTCCTTAAACAACTCCGACATACTGGTAGTCTCGGAGCAGAGATCTAACAAACTATTCTTTTACGCCTGGGACCCGGACAAGCAGCTCTTCTCGCGAAATTCAAGTAAGTTATGTAGCTTTATTTGCATAAGAACGTATTTTAAAATCAAGTGACACATTGGACCTTAAGCTAGGGACATGCGAATTCGACTGAAATCTCAAACTTACAAATACATTTAAAATTCAGCGTTGTGGAGTGCACAGACTTAGACTTACACTTTAAATTCGTTTCCAAATCGAACGAAACAGTTTATAAATACGTTTGTGCAGACCCACAACGCCGACGTTTAAAAACGAATAAAATATTACAAGAAAAGGATTGAGGCAGGTCTACATAACTACCTTCCAGTTTGTCTAATACGTAGGCTGAGTAATCATTTAAATCGTGAGTATCAGTCGGTCTATTGCTCCAGTTCGTCGCTCTGGACATCGAGGATGGCTCGCAAGATGCCCAACTCTAGTTTGGCAGATGCACGCGAAGAGAGTCGGTTCATCACATTGGCCACGTATAGACCAAGAGACTCGTGTCGCGACGAGTTGCACAGATTCTTGAAAAAGGTCGGTGGCAGCGAGTTGTCGAAGTTGCCAAGGTTAATTATCTCGGGTGTGTTTGAGGAGGTGGCGTTGATCTTAGGGTCGAAGATAATGTCATTCTTGAAGTCCAGTTCCTCGATGTGCGGCGAAAAGCCGTTTGTGGAGGCCACAGAGGTGGAAGCAATGGTTGCGGCCGTTGACGAGGTCGGTCCTCCACCACCGCTGCCGTTGATCTGTTGCGCCGCCGGAATAGTAATGATGTTGATGCCCGGCGGCGGTGTCTGGTTGTCCTCGCGCTCCGTCTTGACCTGCATCAGCTGAGCAGTGGTTGTGTGCACCACATTGGCAGCCGGTTGGTGCTCTGGAACGCTGGTAAACGCTGGAGTGGCTGCTACAGACGGGGCTACCTGCTTTGGGCTCGTGGTCTTGGTTTGCTTTTTTTGTGCTGTTGAGGTGTACTCCTCTGAAAGTTTGCGCTTCAGCGAATCTGGCAGCTGTATGGTTGTACGAGAGCTAGATCTCAAACCACTGAGTGGTGCCTGTTGCGCGGTCGTCGATTTGAGCGCAGCTCCTGCCCCCGATCCGGGCGTCTTCTTCACTGTAATCCCTTTCTTTTGAAGCACTGCTGCGGCGGCGGACAATGTGCTGTTTGTTGTTGAACGCGGTGCGTTGTTCGCTAGTGTATTAAGCAATTTCTTCTCCTCGAACGGTGGACGCGGAGTGTCCACGTTAGGTTTGGAATACACCCGCTCATCTTTCTCCGGCGAACCGGTGCTGTGCGACTTTGTAGGGCTTTCGCCGTCTGAAGATGCCGATCCGGTGGAGTTGGCGGGTTGTCCGTACTGTTGGCCTTCCTCATCGTCCTCCGGCTCCTGGACCTCCAGCATCTCATACTCCTCGACCTCATCCATCGGAACTTGATCGCTGCAGGGAAAATATAACGATAGTTAATCTTCAAAGATTTTTGCGCTTTTCACTCCACTTACTCCTCCTCCTTAGCAGAGACCTTTGGCTCCTGGTGGATCTGGTGCATCAGACTGAAGAGTTTCCACGCCGAGTTGCCCTTAAGCTTCTCCTGCTCATACTTTTTCTGCAGCACAATGAAAATGGAACGCGATTCGTGCACGGATAGCTTGTTAAGGCGTCCGATCCTGGCCCACGCCTCTTCCTGCTCCTGCTTGGTGGCGCCGCCATTGTTTGGATGCAATACCTTCTCCTTTGCGATATCCTGCAGAATTTTGTCTAATTGAATTGCCATTTTAGTCAGCGACTTGCGGCCCGCTGGTTGCGCGTTCTTGATAATTTTGGAGGCTGTTTTGTTTACACCGCGATCCACGAAATATTATTTGCAACTTATATTCGCTTCGTTTTCGCTCTCCGCTTTTTGCACCTTTCGCTTCTCTTTTCCTCGTCTGTATTTGGCGTCGGTAATTTGGCGGAAAATGTGACCGTGCGACGTGCAAATACCGAAAATGCCGCCTTTTGGTACAGTTATAGGCTACAGGGCTCTTTCGTTGCGGTGAACTGAAAATCGTAAAATATTTTCATTTGGAAATATTTATTTTTTAAATAAAATTAGTTTTTATTTAAGTTTAAAATATTTTTTCTGTTTTATTTGGGTAACTTTTTAATTGGAAACACTATATCTTTCAGTCCAGAATTTTAAGGTGACCATCACAAAGCATTTTTAAAAGTGGTTATCGCCAATCAACGGTACAACGCCGTATATCGAAAAACAATTCCAATACAAAAATTCAAAAATTAATCGATAAAAAACACCTAAAAATAGTAGGAAAATTAAAATCAAATTACAATGTCATTAAAACCCTTTGCATTTTCAGTGTTCTTATAAGAACACCACATTTACTTTTTCTTGACCCGCTATGCACTTGACTGTTTCCAACCGAGTGGGACCGTTGGGTCCTGCGGGACTGCTGACTACGAAGGGGAACTCATCCAATCCGTAGCAGGCGGCTGCATAGTTTCCAAGCCGATCAACGGCTATGACGGCGCCCATAAAATCCTTGTGGTGTTTTATCATCCGGCGTATTCCCACTGCGGCCGCCTCAGCTGGAGGCTTACCCACGCGCATGGCCTCCACGGCTAGAAGCGAGGGCAGAAACCGCATCATCACATCTCCGTCCCCAGTGGCCACAGCGGCGCCCACCTCGTTGTCCGCATAAGCACCGGCACCCGGAATTGGAGAATCCCCGACACGACCAGGAATCTTGTGACGCGCACCGTTGGTGGATGTGCCCGCGTGGATGTTACTTTCTACATCGATGGCTATCATGCCGATGGTGTCGTGGTTCTTGCGCCCGATTTCATACTCGTTGCGGGCACGGTCTTCCTTCCAGCGAGTCAGGGGAGTGGGCCGAGGCTTGTAGGGGCCACAGGAAACCTTGGGATCGGGGTGCACGTTCCACCAGAAGTTCGGCTGACAGTTTTCCGCCATCCATTGTAGCCACATGTCCTTTGACTCTGGCGTGATCAGTGATTCAGACTCGAATCCCATTGCATTCGCAAAGGCGGACGCCGCATCACCGACCAACATGGTGTGTTGCGTGTGTTCCAGAACATGACGCGCCACCTTGATGGCATCCTTTATGCGTCGCAGACCAGCCACAGCGCCCACGTCCATGGTCCCACCGTCCATGACCATTGCGTCCAACGTAGTCTCACCCGACTCGTCCGGGGATCCGCCGTATCCCACTGTTCGGTCGCACTGCAGTTTCTCGCACTTTGAGCAGCCCTCTACCACGGCGTTGCGAGTCTGCCGTAGTCCACCCTTGCTCTGCTTAAGGATCCGCCAGGCCAACATATTGGAAGCCGTGAAGTTCCATGTGTTGATGACCATGGGAAGCAACTCCCCCGTCGTCCTATTCGTCTTCAATGTATTCGAAGCAGCAGGTGTTGTTGATTTTGAGCTGCAAAGGGGCGTGTCTTAGTAGACAAAAGACTGGCGACATGTGTCGCTTACCTAAATGCCGAGGCCAGCGTTGGCTTTTGCGAAGTATCTACCGCAAGGCTCGGAAATGGCATCAAAGCCAAACAAATTACCCAAAGACATCCTGCCAAGAGCATTGTTATTTTTACTGATTTTTAAGTGGACGTCGCTCTATTTGAAATCTTGTTTAATACTGAAGGAAAATAATCGGGAGCTGCTTTTAAACGCTTGCAGTTTAACCTCACTCCGATGTTTTCTTATCGGCTGTTTTGATATACCCTTTTAAGAAGTCCTATGGATTTTACGGTTTATTTCAAAAAGCTCATTTTTTCCAATGTGAAGGTAAAATCACTAATCGCTAAAGCTGATGATAAAAAAAAGTATTGTATTTCTTCAGTAAAAACCAGAAAGAGTATTCCCCAGTCCATATACATACATTGAGGTGTCTTTCTTTTTATAGGCTCCCCAGAACTAACACAGCTCTACAAGCAGAACTTGGAGCAATATACGAAGGTGGCAGATAACTCAAATGAATTGGAGTTTGCAGTGTTTGGGTTTCAGTGCAGGGGATTACAAGAAGTCAACCAAATAGTAATCCGATGCCTAGATAAGAACAATAACAGCAGGGAGGCAATCTTGGCCAGGCGGGAAGTAAAACAGTTGTTGGCAGTCGCTGATGCAGATGATATTCCCATTTTGCTAAAGACTTCCAAAGCTGTTGAGCTTTGGAAATGGATTAATGGCAGCTACACTCTAGTGAGCAGACTACTGGACGGTCAGGTGGAGAACATTGCACGGATACCACAAGAAGTCGGGATGGACAGTGGCTATGTGGCACTCTTGGCTACTTCGCCAGCAGCAGAGATTCATATTTACAGGTAAGCAAGTTGGCATATCACTGAATCGGCTTTCAGAATGTTTTACCCATTCAACAGCTTCAACAAGGATATGAACGACTTCCAATTAGATCAAGTCTTGAGCATCTCAGACTTTCAGCAGTCTCGTCAAATGCGTTTCATGTACCTGCCTGAGTCGGAGGATCTGCTGCTATGTGCATCCAATGTCCTGCCACAGCAACCGCTCACCATCTATCAGCATCGTGGTGTAGCAGGGTTCCAGCAAATCCTTGGCGACAGTGCGCTGCCAAAAGCCTATGCCTTGGAAGTGCTCGAGCTGCATAGCCAGAAGCTTCGCCTGCTATCCTTGGCTACGGAGGCTGGGGTCTACTTGGTGCAACCACAGTTTACAACACTTTAAGCCACTTTTTTGTTTTTCTAAATAAAAATTACTTTTTATTAACCGTTTGTGTCGTCAATTACGTTGCTTAGTCGTCGCTGGACTCGACGTTCTCGGTCTGCAAGTTCTTGAAGGTGGACACCGGCACATAGGTCACGTAGGTGTAGAGCTTGTTGGGGGAGTCCTCATCGTCGTTGCGTCGACGCGCCAGGCGCACACGGATGCGGAATGGAGTGGACCTGGAAGGAATTAACAAGATAATTAAACTGGTTAACCTTTCGGAGAGATTTCGGGATAACCCACCTGATACCCTTGGACCAGATATGCTTGTTTAGACGGGTGTCGATCCTCACATCGGTGGTGCCCATCTCCCTCTCGGCGAACTTGCGGATCTCCTTGATGGCACGGGGAGCGCGCTTCTTGAAGCCGATGTTGTGGACACGCTTGGCCAAGTGAATTGTGCACTCGCGGGTCACAACTTCGTTGATCGCCGATTTGTTGATTTTCTCGCCCTTGGTCTTGGTCATTGTGCTGTTTAGGCCGCAACGGTGCTATTCAATATCCTGCAAAGGTTTAACAACCGATTTAAGTCGACTAGCACAACATAAACAATCCACATATAGGTAACACTTTTCATCCGCCAAGAAATGACACAGAAATTGTTGCACAGTAGAAATTGACAACCCCTTCGGAGCGTTTTTGGTCTTTGGATATTGTGCACACAGTTTCATTGCATTTACTCCGTGGAAATATTCGATGTTTCCCGATTAAAATACAAAATTGCCAAATTACGAACCTCTCCGGAAATGAAAGCTACGAAAAAGAAAGAAGAAGAGGGGCTAGAGGTGGTTGGTGCTAGCTAGTGCGGAGGAAGTGGGGACTATCGGTGTGTCGATAAAACATCGATTGATTTTTTATCGATATATCTCTGCTTATATCCGTTAAAACTAGCTATTAAAATGGAACTAATTTTGAAAGACGATTTTAGAGGTTCAATTTTCTAAGTTTAAACATAATCAAATACAATTGTTTAAATTTTTTAAATTGTACGCAATTATCATGAGATAATTAATGGAAGAACAAATATTGCATTTTAATTCAGAAATTAATATATTTTAAGAATCTCCCTTATGCGATTGGTTGAAAACAGCTGTCCAGATGTAAACAAATAATAATGCTGGAGGTTGCTGGTGAGTTCTGAAATATATGACCTTATTACAAGTATTTCATACAACCATAATCCTAGCACAACTCATTGCCGTGGGTCTGCTATGGGGCGTTACCAATCCGTTTATACGCCTGGGCAGCCAAGGAATTGAATCTGTCCGGGATACAGGTTCCAAGTGGAGAAACCTTGTCCAGGAAGCCCGGACAATCGGCTCCCGGTGGCGTTATTGGATACCCTTCGGACTCAACCAGTGCGGAAGTGCTCTTTACGTGTGGACGCTACAAAATGCTAGCATTACGGTGGCTGTGCCAGTTGCCAATTCCCTGAGTTTCGCATTCACAGCAATAACCGGCTATGCGCTAGGGGAAAAATTGCCGGGAAAGAGTAAGCCAAAAGGGTAGTCTATAAATATTACCACTTTGTCTAACAACCTTATTCCACAGAAATTATCCTGGGCACCCTGCTCATCTGTTGCGGTAGCATCTTAATGATCTACGACAAAATCCTTCAAGAACAACAGCAACTAAATATAACATTCCAATGATCTTACCCTAAACCCAAGGCCATTTGTCTTTATTGCATTCGATAAATGAATTTTTAAATAATAGGATAAAGAGAGCCGCCGCTTATAAAGCTTTGTGCACAGCCTCCACCAGTACCTCCATGCTCGTAATCGGAGTCTGGGGCGTGATACCGTGTCCCAGATTGGCGATGTAGCGCGACTTGCCAAACTTGTGGACCATCTCGGTGGTCAAGTTGCGCAGCTCTTCAGGATCACGATACATGTCTTGGGGATCCAGGTTGCCCTGCAGCGTAATGTTCGGTCCAACCACATTGCGTGCTTCAACAGGATCCACAGTCCAGTCAAGTCCGATGACATCGTAGCCCAGTTCGCTCTGCTCCTTCAGCGAGTGTCCCGCACCCTTAGCAAACAATGTCTGGAAAAAGTCTCCCGATTAATAAGAACTAGATGTTACTTAAGACAGACTTACCATTGGGACCAGGGGAATAGCCTTCTTGGTGAGACGATCTACCAACTCATCGCGTATCCTTTTTAGGAAGGGCGCTCCCCATTGCAGGAACTGTTCCTTTGAAAGGTGCTCCGCGGAGGACTCAAAAACTTGGAGCATTTGAGCGCCAGCCTTTACCTGCATCTCCAAATAGTCCACAATAGTATCAGTCAGAAGACTAAGGAACAGCTTTGAATCCTCTGGATAATCGTTGAGCCAAGCCTTAGCCTTGGACATAGTCTTACTGCCGCCCCCCTCGATCATGTAGCCCATAAGGGTCCAAGGCGCTCCTGTGAAGCCAATAAGAGGCACTCTGCCCTCCAACTTGTGCCGCATCATGGTGATGGCGTCGCCCACATATCCAAGACGGGACAGGGCGCCATCGGGTGTAAGGCGTTTCAGGTCCTCTGGTATCACAATAGGTTGTGGCAGGACTGGACCTACTCCTGCGTGCATCTCAACAGTAAGGCCGAGTGCCTGCGGAATGACCAAAATGTCCGAGAAGATGATTGAGGCGTCCAGGTCGAAGCGGCGCAGTGGCTGCATGGTCACTTCGCAGGCCAGTTCTGGAGTACGACATACAGTAAAGAAGTCGTGTAGCTTACGCAGCTCCTGGAACTCAGGGAGGTACCGTCCCGCTTGTCGCATCACCCACACGGGCACGCGGTCGACTACTTCACCACGTGCGGCACGCAGCAGGTTATCATTCTTCAGCACGGGAAAAGGCTGAAAGTTTCCAATTCCATCAGTTTTTACGTTTTTTAGCAGGAGCCACACAAGGCACATCAGCCGAAGTCCAACCGACATGATGTAACTGGGGCCGCCACTTTAATCAACTGGGAATCTCACCTTAGCGTCTTTCATTCTGATTCAGGATGCCGGAAGGATAGATGAAAACTCTACAAGTTATTTTAACAGGCAACACCAGTCAAATTTGATGAAATTCGTTAAAAAATTCTGCAATCCTGCATGAGTGTGCGTTCTGCCGCACTTTGTTTACGTCAGTGTTACCAGAGGAAGACCAATCCAGATTTTAAAGCCTGTATGATTTGTGGAGAAGCATGGATGACAAAATCTTGTGATATTGAATTTTGTTTGATGCCCTAAGAAAAAAAATAAAAAATACAATCAAAATCAAATAAAAATGAAGTAAATATGATTTATTATTTTTTTAAATTGTAACTTATCGATAAAACTATTTGTAAAGCAGTTTTAAAAATAATCGATAGCGAAGGTTCGAGTTTCTTACAAAGCTCCTAAAAATTACCAACTGCGTCCTTAACGTAAACAAAAAAGCCGGCGAAATCGAAAATGGATCGTTTGGCTAATGTTTTTTCCCAGCAGGATAAATTTATATCTCTAGATGGAGGATATAAGGATGAATACGAAACCTTCAAGTCACTATACTCATTGCCAGCGGTAAAGCTTCAAGCATTCCAGCAGCTAACAGTTAAACTGCTGCAGCATTTCGAAAAGCCCCATGATAAGAAGAAGTGTGCTATAAAATCACGAAAATTTCGTGAGGAAGGCAATTTTGTGTTTAGAAGCTCCAGGTCGGGATCATCCCAGGACTCGGAAGGAATGCTAGAGGCCTGCAAGCTCTATACGGAAGCAGTTTTTAAGGCAGAGGATGCTGTGGATGAGCTAGCTTTAGCTTTTGCCAACCGAGGAATGGCACTGCAGGAGTATGGATACTACAAGGAATCCTACGATGACTGTGCCAATGCGCTGGAGTGTGGATATCCGGAAAAGTTGCGACACAAAGTTATAATGCGGCAGGCGCACTGTGCCTGGAAGCTGGAGAATATTGGGTTTTTAGAGGAGCATTTGTTTTGCCTGGAGAAGATGCAGTTGAACGAGACCTTCAAATTGCAGCTGGATGATCTACAAAATAAATTACAGAATCTTAAAAACCAATCCAAGGAGGTGTTACCACAAGGCGGAGCACATGAACAAGATATACAAGAAATGTAGGTTTACCTACTTGGATAAACATAAATTTTGTATTTCTTACTTCTTTAATTTGCCAGTGTTACAGATCCTGAACAGCGTGGACGCTATATGGTGGCCAAGGAAGCCATCACCAAGGGGAAAATAATTTTGTCAGAAAGAGCTTCCTGTTTTGTTCCCTTGGAACAGCGATTGATTTGTCAACAGTGTGCAGCCAGTTTAATGTGTGCACCCATACCCTGCTCCAAGTGTCATAAGCGGGTTGTCTACTGCTCCAGGAAATGTCGGGAGGCTCACTCAGCCATTCACAGATACGAGTGCGCCGCTTACCGAAAGAACATTCTTAAATTGCTGGGCGTTTCGCACTTGGCCTTGCGAATGGTCTTGGTTTATATACCCCACATGTTGCCTCAACTGCAGAAGAGCACCAGTGCCCAGGAGATTTGGGAAGGAATCTTGAATTTGGCAAAGATATCGGAATCCCCAGAAACTGTAACCGTCCCAGAGTATTTACAAAGCCTGCGCATGGTCAGCCATTTAGACCAAGCATCACAGTCTGAGCTTGTCTACCACACATTGAGTGCCAATCTGCTTCAAGTATATCTAACAGAGCACACCGACTTTTTTGAACAGTTTCGCTCCTCATCAGCCAGCATTAAAGATTGGCAAGTGATTACATCAGCCCTGATTCTTCGATCCGCCGGTCAGCTACTTTCGAATGGTCATGTAGGCAATGCCTTGGTGCCATTTGTCTTCGAGCCAAATGACTTCGCCCTGTTGCAGCCGGATATGTGGCAGAAGCCTCGCCACCTGAAGTTAGGTCAACTGCACAATATGGGCCACTTGGAGCTGATAACGGCCATCAATTTGCCCTACTTAAGTCTGTGCAACCACTCTTGTGATCCCTCTATTCGAACAAAGTTCGATGGTAATTCCGTAGTTAACTATGCTGCCAAGAACATCTTAGCAGGAGAGGAGATTTACAACTGTTATACGAGGGATTACAAAAACAGCTTAAAGGTTCAGCGTTCGGTACCCTTGAAGGAGGTCTACAAATTCCAGTGTAGCTGCGTTAAGTGCACCCAAAGCAATCCTGATCAGGATTATGTGAGTTTTTGCTTCGAGTTAAGAAATGTAGTACAAGTCCTGAAAACTTACATTTCCATTACTTTCAGCTTAATTTCCATCGGTATCGCTGCGAAAAACCCAACTGCCGACAGGAATTTCTCCCAAATGACAAACTTCAACAAAATAATCTCAGCTGGTGGCTAACATCAAACTCGGATAATTCAATAATTTGTACGGTTTGTAAGAAGCAGCAACAATACCCCTGGTTCAATGGATTCCTTAACCTCATCGAAGGCGACTCAGAATCAAAAATTTCGGAGCTTCTTAAGGCCTTTGATGATCTAGATAAATGGTAACTGGGTCATCACATTATCAAAAGAAACTTTGCTAAAGAACTGGTGTCAGCCTGTTTTCTGGAAATTGAAGGTAAACTATAGATTTTAAGCAGAATTCTACTTTTACAAAGAATTTTTCTCAAACAGTGGATATAAATGTTCTTGATGAACTTGAGTACAAAAATTTGACAAGGATTGTTCGAACACTACTAGAAGGCACTGCTGCTCAGTATGGAGATACCTCTATGGAATACATTGCTCAGATGACCTATCTCTGGGATCTTATTGCTTTGAAGAAATGCCAAAGCACTGAAAAGGAACTTTTAGAACTAAAGGGTAAGCTGGAATATCTGGCTACTGAGCACCGTGAAATTTTTTTGAACTATTACAACGATTTTATTGAGCAACAATGTAAATAACGATATACACGATATTAAATTCACTAGTTTCGAGCTACAAGCAATCAACACTGGCACTTTTTTCACCTACAACTAATATAAGCTTGCTAACAGGCATTCATCTTCATTTTGTCTAAATGAAGTGGGAGGCATATTCGTGGGGCATCACGCCCCGTCGGGGATAGAAGGTGTGGGTGGTGGAGAACTTGAGCAGATTTGTTATGTCGCTGGTGTAGATGTCGGCAAAGCGGAAGAGGCGTCTCGAGAAGTATGTGGGATTGTGATAAGTGCGGAAAACGCTGCCAAACTGCTCGTTGAACACGTTCTTTGTTTTGTTGCTGTTAAATATTGATGATAATGATAAAAATCAAATTGAAAAATAATACATTTTTTATACCGTAACTGATCCCGCTCCTCCATCCACTCTTTCAAGCAAATCTGTGCTGCCTCACTCTCATCGTCCTGCGTTTCCTCTATGAGCTGCGTCAGCATTTGCAGCCAATTGGCACTCATCTTGAAGTCCTCACGATTAAGGGTTTTAATTTCGTGCTGTAAAAATCAGGAAGGCCTTAAAGCAATTAAATAGTCGTAGCATGCTATGCACTCACAGCAAGTTCACTGATTATGGCTCCTGTTCGCCAACTGTGCTTCAGGGTAACATCTGCCAGGTCGCTGTACGGATGATCTCCGAAATAGAGCACGGAATGACCGCGCCAGCCTTTAAGTTCTTGAAGCTGCCTTACCGAACCCTGGAAAAAAATACAAATTGTAGCTTCGGTTATTTTAATTTAAAAAAAGATAACTTACTTCGTAGTAGATTTTTCCCTTCTCGAGCTTGAAGACCCGATCCCACAGATGAGACTGCGTTCGCTCGTCGAACAGCCTTATGGGTCGAGATTCATCCGTGAAGAACTTAGGTTTGCGAGCCTGCACTATGACCACATCAAAGAAATCACGCCAATTGGAGCCTACCAACCAGGACATGCCACAGTTCCTAAAAAACAACACAGTTAAAATATATATTGGGAAAACACCTACGATCACTTCCTTACACAAATGAATACGGACTATTAGTGACCAGAAAGAGATTCTTCCCCGCCTGCTGCAGTTTCTCGAAAAACTTGACTAGCTTCGGGTTGCGTTCTATGTACTTTTCGGTGTTCATCATCACCTTGCCATGCATTATGGGGTGGCAGGAGCCCATGGCGGTCCTGGTGTCATGGAAAACGATCTCCGGATTATAGTCGATACGATTGCGCTCAAAATATTCGATTACATTGCACAGCAGGCACATTTCAGGTACGGAAAATAAGTCGGCCAATTGCACCATTTTGGAGTTGGTGTTGTGCTAAAGGAGACAGAGGAAGGAGATCGTAAATCACTGATTGATAACCCTAACCCTGAAACGGGTGATAAGATATGCACCCTATAACTGTTGTTGGGACCCTCCACGTAGGCTATTGGCAGTAGGCGGTTGTGGTATAGCTTCAACACCTCCTCCGCCTCCACTTTAGTTCGTCCTCGGTAGACCGAGCCCAACTGCAGCTGTAGAAAGCTATCCAGTTTTACGAGTAGACCCTTTTCCACATCATAGTGCAGGCCGCGAACTGCAAAGTTGGGCTCGTACTCAAGTTCCAAGATATCCTCAGGATAGCGGAACCTTTTCACGAGCATCTCCCTGGCCAGGTTATACAGGAGGTCTTCTAGGATCGGTTTATAACAGGCAAGGGTATAGTCGTAATCAAATCCGTACACCTGCACCTCGCTGAGATCCAACTCGTTACAGGCGAACACGGCATCCGGATGCACATCAACGGGTAGTTTCTTGGCTAAAAAAGTCAAGTGATTCGTAATGGGGGAGGGTGTTACTAATAGGACCACTTGCGGACAGGTATTTTTAGATCGTGCACATACTACGCATATGCATATTGTATGCCTGCGTCTGGTTGAGGCTTACATTGGAACTTCTTTTTGGTGGCTTCGTGAAGCTTTTGGAAATCACTCACTGTTTTTGGGTGCGAGATCTGGGTGGGAGCAGCTGGAGCAGAAGCCCCACCGTCCGACGAGAAAGCGCGGGATTCGGATCTAAAATTTGATTTGCATGGCAAAGGAGACAGGATAGCGATGGAATCCCAGTTCCGGAGGACACTACCAGCCCGCAGGAGCACATTCTGCCGGAGAAGCGCACTGACGTTCGGACTACCTGCCGCGCACATTTAATTCGATACTAAATTGCCAATTAAGCCCGTTTGTTATGTACACTATGTGGGGGCGGAGTGGGTTGCATGCCATATGGATGGGGTGGGGTGTGACCGGACAGAATGCCCCCAAAAAATACCGATACGCGGATCTAATACGGTCATTGGAGCAGTTGTTATCTATTATGTCTCTAATTATAGCTATTGAATATTCTTTCCTTATTTCATGGTTGCTTCTATATATTTATCATAAAATATAAATCTATATGAAAAGCATTGGATATACAAACAAAACGAAATAAATATTCATATATACAAATTTATTACAAGTTTAGGGTATATAAATAAAACTTATTCAAAAACCTGAATTTCCTATACTGCTATTTTATAAATCAGATGATTTGAGAATCAATACAGAGTTTAAATAATAATTTCAAAATTCTCAAAGCGTATTCCGTTATTAATCGGTTAATTTTGATGGTGAAAAAAATGTGCAGTTTTTGACAGCCCTAAATAACAGTAAAACTATTTCAGTATTATTTTAATAATAATACTAAAAAGATTAAAACAATTACTATTCAAGCTGAATGGCAAACTGTCGTGACTATCGGTTTCTTAACACGTTTCCTAGTGAATGTTTAATTTTCATTTTCGGCAATAATATAATTTAAAAATCCACGAGTGCAAACAAATCTGAAGTGATTTCCTAGTAAGGAAAACAAAGCGATATAAAAAACACGATTTTAATCCAAAAACAAACGAAAGAAGGAAGAGAACAGAGAACAAGGAGGAGCAACTATATATATTTGTCCCCCATCGCCCGTGTGTGCGTGCGTGTGTGTGGTAGTAGTAGTATTTTTTTTCATTTCTGTTTTCACTGTACGTGCGGATTGATTCATATTATTTCATTACGTGAGCTATTGCAATATATATTAATTATTCGGCCGTGGGCAAAGCCATACCGATTTCACCTGGCCCATGGAATCGATCTTATTGTTTATTATTTGATTTATGCGTAAATAGATGCCACCAGCGATGTAGAGCTGCTGATGGCCCCTTTTCCACGGGGGCCGCGGCCAATGAAACCACAGACCCAAAAAAAGAAAATAAGAGACAAAAACAAATTACGCCGTAGATGTAAAAAAAAAGCGCCAAGAAGAAGCAACAGCAAATACGTCAAATATATTTAATCTCCAATACCATTGCACTTTAAACGTGTGTGCTGAAAAATAAAAACAAAAACAACAAGAAACCTCCGCTCAGGAATTGACAACTGATACGTAGAATTATGAACGTAGAGAGCCAATTGAAGACACCGCTAACGCACATACGCAATCTGGTCAAGCACGTGAATAAGCGAAATTTTAATGAGAGCAGCGAGCAAATAAAGCAGGTGAGTTTCCAAATATTTTCCATGAACATTTTCATTTTTGTCAACAATAACAACAACAATGGGACTGGGAGCCAAAATGATAGTGTTGCCAAATTATAAACATATCGGACCTGGGTTCATAACCAGAGTTGCCAATTGTTCGCAATTCACTCACGACTTCGGAGAAGAGCACACTATTGCCATTTCACTCGCTCGTGCATTTTTGCCGACGCCATTACAGTTTTTTGGTAAAGGCAGCTGAAAAAATTTCTCTGCACAGCGTTGCGCGTTTTGTTTAAGCTAAAAGTGGATTAGAATGTGTAAAACTTGGCTAATTGGGTGCGCTAAGCCACGCACGTGATTCGTGAGTGGTCGACCGAGTAAAATTCGCAACAGAACTGTGCAAAATCGAGTTGCGAAAATTGGAATTGGAAAGCCCAAGCGAAGGGCTTTTCGGCCCCCCGAAAAACCTATTTTCTCTCGTTGCAAATTGAAACAAGACAAAAGTCAATTAAGTTAGTAAGTTAATTAGCTATACTCTATAAGAATATTTATTCCGGCCGCTTTCTTTTCGCTAAACTTGCAATATGTCGCACTTTTTCCTGTGACCCCCTTCCTTTCTCGCACCGTCATGCTCTTTCCCTCTTCACTCCTCTCCCATGTAACGTTTCAGTCAAAGAGTGTGAGCGAGAGATCGGGAGTATAATTTGTTGTGGAGCAGCTGCGACAACGGGGTCACAGCTGTTGTCTCGTTCCCGCGTACAGAGAGAGGCCTTGAGTCCGGACTACGAACTCCGGGTCCCGTATTTTAAATGATGTTGGTTCCAAAGCGGGGAACGGGGATACTTCTTGGCTCCGTCGCAAAACTTTTTCTATAGAACGTAGAATCACAACAAATACTATGTTTAGTAATAGCGCAATTTGGCAAAAAAAAAGTTTTAATAAGTATTGGCTTTTGGGACTTATACGTACCTCGAGCAGGGATAGTTTGGAATAAAATTGATATTGTTTAATAAGTGAATATAATAAACAATAATTTTATTCGGTTTAGTTATTATTTTCTGAACTCCGATTTCTAAAAAGTAGGATATCGAAGGGCGTACTATTATTGCTTATTTTGATTTTTCAACTTATTGACTCAAAAAAGTATCTTTTAAAATTAATTCAGTTAAGGCCTCGTTGCCTAAAATAAACACTTCCAACTAGGAGAGTATTGGATTGAGACACGTTCAAAACAACATAACCTGTCAAAATTTCCAAGTTAGCGATGAAAATAAAATAAATAAATTGTTCACCGCATAATCTGAGGAATCCGTTGTCCACCAGCTTGTAATATGTGTCCCAGGTTGCGAACAGCCTTTGCTAGAGCACTTTTGATGGCCTCGAAAACTATTAGTCTAATGCCTTCCGCCGATAGTGATACTGATACTGATAGCTTGTATGACTTCTTTCAGTTCGTCAAAGCGCACGGCCTGGAAGCGGATCGCAGCAGTCTGCGCCACCTGTTCTCCGTGATCAACTTCACCGATCCCGCGCCATCGGTTACAGCCCAGCTGCAGGCGAAGCTCCTGGGAGCCCAGTTGCAGCGGCAGCTTCAGAGTTCCTCGTTTGTGTCGACCATCTGCTACGCTTTTGACCAGTACTTCGTCAGCAACCAGAAGGTGAGCATGTTCTAATGCCCTTGATAGAATAGATAATTATTAATTCTTTTTTGATCAGTCCTTAAAGCCTGCTGCGGTAGCGGAACTTGTTGGCCAGGTCGCTCGGTTAACAGGCATTAACAAACTCTGTGAGTGCATTTTTGCCTTGGCAGTAACTCACTCCTCGCACACGGAACTCAGGAATTCGGCAAAGAACAATTTAACAGGAAGCCTTAGCGAACTAATTGACTCCTACTTGGGCAAGAACAATAGCAGCCCGGCGAGCAGCGGTCTCCAGGAAATCTCATTTGACTTGCTGCAGTATTTGTTGTGCTGCCTTAGCGATTACGTGAAACCGCAGCTGGAGGCGCAGTTTTTGGTAAAACTTCGGGAGGAGTTTCCGCGTCAAGCGGTGCCGCTGGTTTTAGCGCCGTTTCTATACGGCTCGACGACGGCGTCGATTGCGGGAGCGGGTGCCAGCGAAACGGATGCGGAGGGCGAAACGACGGCTAGTAGCAATAGCTCCAGTTCAGAGGCAGATGCTCTGAACGAGGTGGGAATTGAGGATATCTATGACCATTTAAGCGAAATAATATTCACCAACCAGGTAATCAAAAGGAAAAATGTACAAAATCGATTCGCTAATCAAATCTTATATTGCAGGGCAAAAATAATATTATGGACACATCCTGGATTAATTTAATCCTTGAAATCGGTTATGAATTTACATCGAGCGTTGAAGAGTGCAAGAATCATTTGTGTTCCCGTGAGCGAGAACGCGCTGAGCTCCAGGCCAAAGATGTCGCCAAGATCGTGGGACTTATGTGCCGCCGGCACTCGTCTCTGCTCGATTGTAATGTGAACCTACCAACGCCGGCGAATTTCTGGCCTGGTCAGGGACAGGGCGCTGGTAGTAATAGCAGTGGTTCTACGCAGGCACAAAGCACTCCGCAGCAACAGAACTCCGGCAGCAGCAACAACAACGATGGCAGCGACGGAAACTCGTCTAGTGATAAGAAGGACAAGAAGGAGACGTCAGAGGCCACACAAACTTGGAAGCCAGATGTGTTCGTGCAGGCCCTCAAGGATGTTGTGCCCCAGCTCAACTGGAAGGACGTGTGCATGGGTAATTGCTAGTTATACTTATCACTCCACATTCAATTACATTCAATGTCCTTTTGCTTTCAGAACTCGATCATCCAGAGTTCGTGTTAAAGGACAGAATCGGTTTGGAGCTACTATTGACCATCCTTCGACTAGCTACTGGCTCCAATATATTTCCACATCCAGAATGCATTTACCGCCACTGGGCAAACACGGAGGGTCAGCTGTCGCTTATAGCGACGATGCTAAAGAACCCGGATCTCTTCTCCTTTGCCGACTTTGTATTTAGCCAACCAGCTTTGGATGTGCTAAAGACGGCTCCGGATGCGGACAACAAGGAGATTTCGGCCTGGAAGTCACTTCACCTGGTTGAAGTGCTGCTTTCCATTGCGGACAAGGGATACTATACACAGGTCCATGAGCTTTTCAAGTTTCCCGCGCAAAATTGTCCCGATGTACTGTTTCTGGCCTTACTGCACATAAATCCGCCTGCGACGCCGCTGCGCCAAGATCTGTTTAATCAACTGATACCAACGTTCCTGGGCAATCATCCGAACTCGAACGTGATTTTGGCCAGCGCCTGGAGCTCGACCAACTTCGCGTTGCGCCCCAACATCATGAATGCCATGTCCGAGTGGTATCTGCGAGGCAGTGAATTCGACCAGGTGAAGCTTTCCCGCATTTTGGACCTTGCACAGGACCTGAAGGCGCTCTCTTCTCTGCTTAACGCACGATCCTTTTTATTCATCATCGACCTGGCGTGCCTTGCCTCTCGGCGCGAGTACCTGAAGCTGGAGAAGTGGCTAACCGACAAGATTCGAGATCATGGGGAGCCCTTTATGCAGGCGATAATTAAGGTGCTACACCGCCGCTGCCCGCAGGTGATGAACGCCAAAGTGCCCGAGGACCAGTTGCCTCCCAAACAAGCCCAGCTCTTGCCGGAAACGGTTACCACAATGATTAACTGTCTGCAGACTTGCATTAATAACTGCATGCAGCCGGAGATGGTAGAGGTGATAATGCAGATGACCGCAAACATGGCCATTATGGCTAACAAGGCTCGTGCTCAACAACAGCAGCCAGGGTTGGTTCCGCCACCTCCCCCAACCATTCTGCGCGGCCATCGTGGCATGGATCTGCCTGGGGGCATTGTTCCTCCGCCGCCACAGCAACCATTCTCAGGAAACCTTAATGCGCAGATGTTCGGACCCGGAATGGATCCGCTGACAAACATGTCTAACAACCTAGCCGGACTCAACCTGAGCGGCCCGAACGGATCATTTAACTTTGGCAACATGTTGAGTAAGTGTAGTTTGTAGTGTGGAATTTTTTAGCCATGATTATTTCTCCTATCTAACCGCAACAATTTATTACCATTCCAGCCTCTCCATCGCGTTTGATGACTCCAGGAGCCAATCCCTATCCGCTGAACCCTATGCAGATGCCACAGGCACCGCCGCCACCTAATGTCGGAAATCTTGGTCGTATGCTTCCGGGTGGTCCACAACAGCAGACTCCTACGCCAACTCCAACGGCACCCAATCCAAATAATCCTGTGATGGCCGATCTCCAGATACCTGTATCCAAGGAAGTAGAAGACGAGGTCAACTCATATTTCCAGCGCATCTATAACCACCAACCGAATCCTACTCTGTCCATCGACGAAGTGCTGGACATTCTGCAACGCTTTAAGGAGTCGAGTAACCGCCGTGAGCAGGAGGTATTTCTATGCATGCTGCGAAATCTTTTTGAAGAATACCGCTTCTTCTGTCAATATCCGGAAAAAGAGCTGCAGATTACAGCACAACTCTTTGGTGGCATCATCGACCGCAACCTGGTGCCCACATTTGTTGCTCTGGGACTGTCACTGCGTTGTGTCCTTGATGCGCTTCGTAAGCCGGACGGCTCCAAGCTTTACTATTTTGGTGTAACGGCACTGGATAGATTCAGGACGCGATTGCACACGTACAATAAGTACTGTGAGCACATTCGCTCTATTCCTCACTTTTCGGACTTTCCGCCCCATCTTATTCAGTATGTAGAATATGGCATGCACGGTCAGGAGCCGCCTCCGCAAAAGCTGATAGGCCTCAGCAACACGATTCCGTCTGCAATTTCAACAGGACCACCAATCGAACCACTTTACAGGGCTAACTCCATGCTTGGTAAATATGACTTCTTTGATTCGCTGTATGAGCAAAAATTGGTTACTCATCCTTATCATCCTTCAGTGGAACAAAGAAAATGTTGAATTAAATCGTATTTTGACCAATCGATCATTAACGAACTGCCTACTAATTTAGACCTCTAAAGACAGCCAAATTTTTTTTTTTAGCGATCTATCCACAGAATAACGTTGATTTTTACACTTTCCTTTAGGTAACATGCCTACATCCACCCCTGGATCGGGACCCAAATCAACCTCTGCCGTGTCGCATGCCACTAGGATGAAGTCCATTGCAAATGCCACCAATATTGACACCCTTTTGGTGGCCAACCAGGAAGAGAAAGTTACTGTGCCACCGGAACCTGTACAAGATAAAACGGCCTTTATATTCAACAATCTGAGCCAGCTGAACATACCTCAAAAGTGCGATGAGATTAAGGAGATAATGACCAAGGAGTATTGGCCATGGCTAGCACAGTATTTGGTCCTTAAACGCGCCTCTATGGAGTTCAACTTTCACACGCTCTATTACAACTTCTTGGATGCCCTTAAGAACGGCGAGATCAACCGATTCGTGACCAAAGAGACGCTGCGTAATATTAAAGTGCTTTTGCGCTCTGATAAGGGAGTAATCAACTTCTCCGACCGCAGTCTGCTGAAAAACCTCGGTCATTGGCTGGGCATGATGACCCTAGGTCGCAATCGCCCCATCCTGCAGTTGGACCTAGATCTAAAATCGCTTTTGGCTGAGGCGTATCATAAAGGACAGCAGGAATTGCTTTTTGTGGTGCCCTTCGTGGCGAAGATTCTTGAGTCATCCGCCAAGTCACGCATCTTCCGATCCCCCAATCCATGGACCATGGGTATCATGTACGTGTTAGGCGAGCTTCACCAGGAGCCGGACCTTAAGCTGAACCTCAAGTTTGAAATCGAAGTGCTGTGCAAAACACTAAATCTAGAACTGGCCAAGTTGCGACCAGTAATCTATTTAAAGGATCCAGGTCGTGCTCTGCTTATTGAACAACAAATGTCGCAGCCTAAGCCAAAACAACTGGAGTCAGTTGCTCCAGCGCCTTCACTGCCACGTGAACAGCAGTCCCCGGCACAACCACCGCCGCCACCACAGCAGCAGCAGCAGCCACAACAACCACAGCAGCAACAACAACAGGCTCCTCCACCACCACCCACGGGTGATGTGGACGCCCAAAATGCGGCTGCTATGATGATGGCAGCAGGGGGAGCTAACAGCACTCCTGGATCGGTGTCTTCTCCCAATCTACCCACGGATCCCAGCCAGGTGATACTACCGCCACCAGAGCCGCGGTATTCCTATGTCGAGGTGAACGTGAGCAACTTCCAGGTTATTGGCCAGCAGTTGGTGCTGCCACCCAATATGCCGTTCCTGCACGGTAACCCGGGAATCAAGCACATTGTGATCAATGCCATTGAGCGCACAATTACCGACTGGCTGCAACCTATCGTGGACCGAAGCATTCGCATTGCATGCGCCACCACCGAGCAGATCATCCGCAAGGATTTCGCATTGGATGCTGACGAGAACCGCATGCGTACTGCTGCCCATCAAATGGTACGCAACCTTGCTGCCGGCATGGCGATGATTACCGGTAAGGATGAAATTGCACGTGCGATTAGCCAGAATATGCACAAAGCCTTGATATCGGCTCTAAACGGAATGCCTACTTTGACGGAGATTCAAAATGCCGCCATGCAACTGGCCAGCGAGAATGTAGAGCTAGTGTGCGCCTTTATCCAGAAAACATCTGCTGAAAAGGCTGCCGCTGAGATTGATAGACGTCTAAGCACCGACTTTGAAACAAGAAAAATTGCCCGTGAAGAGGGTAACCGATTTGTAGATGCCCAGATCCTAAGCTACCAACAGGAGCGTCTTCCAGAAGCAGTGCGTGTCAAGGTTGGCCCTGCTCCAGCTGCACTTTATGTTGTATACTCAGAGTTCGCAAAGTGCATACCTGGCTTTCAGCAGATGACCGAACGTGATATAGCCCTGTTTGTGCCCAAACCACAGGATTTGTCGCAGCCAAATGTGTTTGCCAATGATGAAAGCAGCTTGGTATATGCAGAATTGGCCAGTAAAATGGAAGCGTTCATGAACACGGCAATCGGTGTGCCTTCTCTGCAGGTGCAGGCCAGCAAGATGCACATGCTTCTAAACGCATTGATGTCGACGCGTCGGCTCCGTGACCAAGAGTCGGCCTTTAATCTACTGACCCGAGCCGTAGAGGGTTTGACCGAAGGTTTGGTTAATATGCATGAAAATATGGAGCAGATGAAGCTCTACCAAAACATCCATCTGCGTATCATCGGCCTGCTGCACAATAGCTTTGGTGCTCCAAACACAGAGCGGGCGGTGACCAAGTGCTTCTTCGACATCCGCGAGGAGGTGCGTTACAATGTGGAAGCAGCTCGTGCGCTGATTACCTCGCACTTTGTCAATTTGAATCAGTTTGATGGAATGCTCCGTGATTGTATGGACAACGGGAATAACTATGTGGCGATCTCTTTTGGTATCGCACTGCTGGAGCGCCTAATCATGGACGATCGAGTAATTAACATTGTTTCGGACAACGAATTCATGGCTACCGTAGAGTTGCTGGGTAGACTTTCTCAGCACCGTCATCGATATCCCGAATGCATCGTGAATGCTATCGACACGCTGTGGAGCGGAAACTTTAACTCGAGCACCGACTACAGTCCTTTTAATGCCAATGAGCGTTACTTGGCGGGAGCCTCTCACTACATCCACTCCGGCATGCAGCACGTGAGGGTAAGAAAAAAAAAACATTTGTAGTTTGTCATATCCTTTATCACAATCATTCAATTCATTCATTAGTCATGCGATACGGATGATCCGCCAGGCTTACAGGAAAAGACCGAGTTTCTGCTCAAGGATTGGGTGGCACTGTACACCCAACAGAACCAGCAATCAACACGTGATGCCCGCAATTTCGGTGCATTTGTCCAGAAAATGAACACATATGGAATCCTTAAAACGGATGACCTGATTACTCGCTTTTTCCGACAGGCCACACACATATGCACAGATGTGGTGTACAGAATGTTCGCCGAGCCAACTTTGCCAATCAATCAGGCCAAGAACAAGATATTCCAGTGGATTGATGCTTTCGTACACCTGATCGCAATGCTTGTGAGACACTCGGGTGAAGCAGGCAATCCAACTACAAAGATCAATCTGTTGAACAAGGTGCTGGGCATTGTACTGGGCACGCTGCTCAAAGACCATGAGATGCGTGGCGTTAGCTTCCAGCAGGTGGGCTACCACCGCTTCTTTATGATGCTGTTCACGGAGCTCTGCTCAGCCGACGCAATCCTTGAATCGTTAATGCACAGCATCGTGTCGGCCTTTGCCTACACATATCATCTGCTGAATCCCAGTGTGGCTCCTGGCTTCTGCTTCGCATGGCTTGAGCTCATCTCACACCGCGTCTTTCTGGGTCGAATTCTCGTCCAAATTCCCAACCAAAAGGGTTGGCCGCTTTACGCGCAGTTGCTGCAAGACCTTTTCAAATATCTTGCGCCCTTCCTACGCAACACGGAGCTCGGCAAACCAGTGCAACTCTTGTATAAGGGTACGTTGCGTGTTCTACTTGTTCTGCTGCACGACTTCCCAGAATTCTTGTGCGACTACCATTTTGGGTTCTGCGATAGCATTCCGCCCAACTGCGTCCAGATGCGTAACATCATCCTGTCGGCTTTTCCACGCAACATGCGCCTGCCTGATCCTTTCACGCCTAACCTGAAGGTGGATATGCTTTCGGATAGCAGCAATGCACCCAAGGTGCTTAGCAGCTATGTCATGAACATCCAGCCACCAAACTTCAAGAAGGATTTGGACTCGTACCTTAAGGCTCGTGCGCCGGTTACTTTCCTCTCGGAGTTGCGTGGTCACTTGCAGGTGACTAGCGAGCCAGGAACGCGATACAACATGACACTGATGAATGCTCTGGTCATGTATGTGGGCACCCAAGCGATTGCTTTGATTAGGTGAGTGCTTCAAAATTATCTTAGCTGCCCTCGCTGTGTTTGCTAATCAAGATTGATGTTTGCAGGAACAAGAACTTTGTGCCCAACACTTCCAACATAGCACACAGCGCTCACATGGACATCTTCCAGAATCTGGCTGTCGATTTGGATACAGAGGGTCGCTATCTTTTCCTGAATGCGATTGCCAATCAGTTGCGATACCCCAATAGCCACACGCACTACTTCAGCTGTGCGGTACTGCATTTGTTCGCAGAGGCCAACTCTGAGGCAATTCAGGAGCAGATCACGCGCGTCCTACTCGAGCGATTGATCGTGAACCGCCCGCATCCATGGGGACTGCTCATCACATTCATTGAGCTGATCAAGAATCCCATTTACAAGTTCTGGGACCATGACTTTGTGCACTGCGCGCCGGAGATTACCAAGTAAGTTGGCCCAATATATATGGACCTTTTTCCCTTATTTTTTGGATGTAGATGTATACCGAATTCCCAGCAAGGTCAAATGGAAGTAGTTTGTAGTAGTTTAGCAATGCACTAAAATAACGAAGCTCGCTTTTGAATTTCAAACCCACATTCTTTCCTAACTTACAATTTACCACCCCTTCTGTTTTCAGATATTTCGGTGAATGTTTGATTGTAGTTAAGCGGTTTGAGCATTTAATTGGCATTCAGTGTGCATCGTAGCAAGAGATCAAGTTCAAGCCTCAAAGCGAATCAACCAATCCCAAACCCACTAATTTAGCATGTTTACCTTTCTTTATATTTGTTTGTAACCTCATTTTCTTTTTTTACAATTTATCAGTAATTAATCTATGAAAATATAACTTTTTAGTAAGCAAAATGCGCCTGGGATGCTCTGTCCAAAGCGAAAAGAGTTTGTTATTAAACAAAAATGTGTTTTTGATATTCCGTAGGCTCTTTGAATCGGTGGCCCGGTCCTGTCTGGCCAAGTCCAACGTCACCCAGCAGCTGAACATGCCCGTCGTCGATGGCGAGGGCCAGGAGGTGGCCACCATCAACTGAGAAAACGCCACCGTCCGACGCTTCTGCCTGGAGGTCTGCGCTAGACCCAGACGCAGGCAGTAGCTGCCTGGGCAGCACACCACCACCACAACAACAACAGCAACAACAACAAACAGCACATCATTCATTGAATTCTACTAACCATTACTGTGTTTAGTTCTTAGTAAATCGTTTTAAGAAGACAGTGAAATCAGCAACAGTTAGACACAAACATTTACAAAGCAACAAAAAACTGCAACAATAAGAATAGAGCAAAAAGCAGGCCAGGCCAACTGCTGAGCTGTATACTGAAATTTGACTTGTATTTAAACGAACGGAAACGATATTTTAAATGCCCTCCCCCTTTGCTGGGGAATGTTACAAATTTTTAATTGAGTTGTATTATAAATGGTAGGTGAAGGCGTTAAACTGTTTATGACAGATACTGTGTAAAGAAATCAATCAAATCGATAAAAAGAAAAGAAAAAACGAAAAACATAAAAAACAAAACAAGAAAAAAAATGAAAATTAAAAAAGAGAAAAATATTTTCTACAAAAAAAATTGCAAAATGTACAATGAAAATGCGAAAAAACTAACAAAAGCGAACGGCCACATATGAAATTTGTGTACACATATTATTGAAAAAGCTAAGGAACCAGGAAGCAGAAACCAAGTAAACCTACTCTCAATACCGCTGAGAGCGATATTTATAGACGTGAATCGAAGATAGCTGAAGCTGAAAGTTTTGAAAGATCCTCAAGTCAATAATAATTCGAGTTGTCAAAGTAGCTTACCTCCCAGCCAACTCAATGATGTATCATTTGCAAATTTACGTTACCTTTAAGAGTCCCTCAGTTAGTCTACTCGTATACGTTAACTTTTTAAAATGTTCCCGCACAACAACAACAACGGCAGTCACTGCAACATTAACCAGAACCAACCAATGTTTGATCTTCTTATACGCAACTTAAGCGATACGTTTTGTTTTTATCTACATAATTTTATGAACTGATTATTAACTGAAATGGAAATACTTGAACACTTTCTAGCTTGTTAAACGTATAATCGATCCTCCATGTAAAGATAAACGCTGTTAAAATCAGAGAAGGAAAGAGAGATGTAGAAAGAGCGTGGCACAGAGTCGAAGCCATTATCTATATAAATCTTTATATAAATATATAAAATATGTATTTCTAATTATAAATACGTAATGTAAATCGAGTTTGGTAGCCGCGCGGCGAGTAGAAGGGCAGCAAAGTGAGATCGATTCTAAATTCATTATCCTACGTTAGGCAAGTTCGTTGCGAGTTATGTACGTGTTATTAGCCCCTCTCTCCCACCCGACACTCAAGCAAGGAAGCACCCAATGCAGCAACTCTATTAGTTTTAAAAGTCTATACCGCAAATGAACATTCATTGTATTTACGCAAGTCAAATCTATTTTGAATTAAACTGAATTGAAGCCTGAAGCCGAGCAAAGAAGTGCATATGTAGAAAATATGTGTAGAGGAGTGGATAAGAGAGTAGAAGATAGGGCTAGCTTATTAGCCAAAGGCCCAACTCATTTATAGACTAATTCCGTTTGCGATGGCTAAGAAGTATATATGTATGTATATGATGGATGTACAGACATTCGTTCACCGATCGACCGACACATTCATTAACGAAATCTGCGACACAAGAAACCACAACAAATCTACATTGATAAATAATAATCCATTACAATCGAAATAAGTAACACTATGCATTAAGAGAACAATATATATATAAAAATTAATATGTATACAAAACAAATATTAAATGTATAAATGGCAAAATTTTAAAAAGCCCTGCGTTTTTACATACTTTTTCCCCCTTAATGCCATAATATGTATCTGAGTCTGTGGGTGTGAGTGTGTGGGTTAACACTTAAAAAAGCTCGTTTCATTGGAGCAAAGGCCCCACATACATAGATGTATACGTATATATAGTACCCCGTACATATGTAGCCCATTTCCGCACCCAGGCTTACATAACCCACCGCCCCCTTGGGTTTGTTCGTGGAGCGCATTTGGGTTAAGTAAACAGAAATGTCGATAAATGCTGAGAGAGAGAGAGAGCGGTTACAGCTTGGAAAACTAAAATGTACTGGTGTATCTATCTATTGTGCGACACGAATTCAGCATTAATTGAAATGCTGCAGTCATCGCAATGCCCCGCCGTCGCTTGTTTTCGTTGCCAATTCACATGAATTTGTCATAAGGCTGATAAACGACGATTGGTGTGTGGAGGGCACTCTTCAGAAAGGTACCTATTGAACAGATGAATTCTCCAAGCTTTTGCATTTTCCTTTTAAGATACATCTTTTTCTACGTAGAAATAATTGAGTACAACTGCAATTTATGCCTGTAACAGTTAAGTATTTATTTTTACAGTTTAATGCTCAGCCCAAATTCTTCGGAAAATATTTTTTGCGTTACAGAAAATAACTACATTTTAGCTGCTTTTGAAAACACGTTGAATCTATTCCTAAGCTCATAAAAATGAAGTTTTTATGTTAAATCTTTTAATAGTTGGTCTAATTGTTTTTGGTGAGTGTATAGTGTAGAGTAGGAAAAAATGCCCAATTGCTTGTGTGTGTGTGGCGTATCTGTGTGAGCGCTTGGAAACAGAATGTGGCACACTTAGCACTCTGCCGACGTCGCTGCGCAAAAGCAAAAGGAAACGAAAAAAAATTCCCCTACTGGCCTGGCCTGGCCGTACATTATGTGGCCCCCAATCCGAATAGCAATGTATCCGAAAGATACAAAAAGCGGCGCTGCAGCTTTGTGGCTCTACATGGCCATTTGAATCGGCTTAGAAGTGCGCGCGCGCGCTGACGTGCGAAAGGGATGGAGATGGAGTTTCGTTAAAAAGCTTTCCAGTCCAGTCGCTCCAACACACAGTCACGTGTTTTTTTATTTTCTGTGTTTTTTGTATCTGTGACTGCGTGTATCTTTGTATCTTTGCGGCAAGCTTCTTGGCTGAGTCAGCTAAAGCAGCACCATTAGTTGTGAGCACATTTTGTGTATGCTGCCATTAGTTTTTTTCCTCTCTACATCTTCTTCTTCTGGCCCTGCAGATACAGATATACATAATTGGTATAGCACTCGCCCCCTTCCCCACCTTTCCATAGATAGTGGAAAAACCAAGAAGCAGACCGCAGCTGCATTTCTTTGGATATTCCCCACCGCTGCATATTTCCCCGCACTCTTGATGACCTAGTTTCCGTTTCTCTAGGCTCTCTAGTTGCACCGCCTCTATGGCCAAAACCCTGTGATTAGGGGCCCAGTCCAATCGAAACTAGGCCTCCTCTTGGCCCCACAAATCGAAACGGGGGGCTCTCCTTAAACAGAAATTGCAACGGAAATTGCCCGAAAATAAAAATCTGGTCCCGACCAAGTGAAATCGGAAATGAAACCCAAGCCATTACCAAATATTCCTTTTGGCCTTTGGGAATCGTCAATCATCTCATGTTGACACTAAATGGAAAACATAATTCAATCATACAAACGTCGGGTTACAAGTCTCGTTAATGGAAGTCCCTTTTGGCAATAGGAAGTTATTTCAAAAATCGTTCAAAATATTGAAGTTTTTTGACTGGAATGCTTTTTTGGGGTTATGCAAGGCGGCTAAATATCTTTCATATGACAATCCACAAAATATTAATACATTCCTTCTACTCATGAAAACCAATAATTTCCGACTTATTCCTGTCATATTTCTATGGAATTATGATGGAGCACAAAACAAGTGGTTGTTTTCTTTCTGGCCGAGATTTTTGCTCCACTTGGCTAGAAACCACCTGGTCAATTGACTCAGTCCGAGAGTGATTGCAACTGACTGATTGGGGGCTGCCTGTGCAGATTGTCAGATGCCAGTTGCATTTGCTATTGCTAGTTAATTGAATTCGCCGTCAGGTGGCATTTAGGAGGAGCAGTTCCACTGCTCCACAGGAAATTGCGCAGCTTGTCAGTTCAATTAGAAGGAATTCGATTTGTCCCATTCCCGTTACCATGTTTCCCATGCAAGATTCGTTTAGCTATGATGCATTTTAATTGGATTATCTCCAGCCAGAAGAGTTTTACATATGCTAAAGAAAAATGCCTGTTTTTAGGCATAGGGACCGATGCCAGCTGCCCGGGCCATCAGAGCCGGAATGTTGCTCTGCTCGTAGTTGCCACTAAAGTACTGGGCATAGGGTCCCGAGGCATATACCGCCACATCGTCTCCACCATGGGTTTCCGAATCCAATGGCACCAGAGCCGGATACTCAAAGTCTACATCCTCGACCAACTTCTCCTTCAGCAGGGCACGACCCTCAACACGATTGTACGCAGTGTAATAACCAGGTCCATTGGCATAGGACAAAGACGTATAGGGCAGGTTGTCATCAGCTAGCTGAGCCAAGCCGGTGATCTCCTGGTCGCGGAACTGTCAAAACAAGGTGTTATATCGACAAATCCAAAAAGTTTTTAAATAATGGACGTAACTTACAGGATAACCATTGATGGTCATAACATGAGCATGATCGGCGGTTACTACGATCAGTGTGTCATCCTCGGAGGTCAACTCGCGGGCTGTCTGGACGGCCCTAGCAAACTCGGCGGTGTCCTCAAGCGATCTCTTGGCATAGGAATCATGATGGGCCATATCGATGCGGGCACCCTCGACGAACAAGAAGAAACCCTCACTGTTGCGACTCAGAACCTTGATGGCAGCTTCTGTGAGCTCACTTAGCGAGGGATCCGCCAGCTGGCTGCGCTTCCTCTCCCGATCTCCATTGTAGGGCAGGTGATCGTTAGCGAAGAGACCCAAGAGATAGTCTGTCTTATCCAGATCCAACAGACTAAGACCCTTTCGACTCCAAACATACTCGGCGGAGACATTGGCTTCTTTCTTCTGATCCAACCAATTGCGAATTAGGTTGCGACCATCGACGCGATCGCCAGAATATCCCTCCTCATCGTTCGTTGTGCTGTTAATGAAGTTCTTGCGACCACCTCCGAGGATAACTTTGAGCTGCTGACCTACTGGCTGCTCCACCAATTGACGGGCAATGTCGATGGTCTGCTCAGGATCACAATTTCCATTGGCCACCTCCCAGTCGTTCTCCCAATTACGATCAGCGATATGGGCATAAACGCCAGCTGGTGAAGCATGGGTCACCCTGGCTGTGGTCACAAATCCTGCATCCTTGCCCGCCGCTTGTGCCCATTGGGCTATGCTAAGCACACGATCCTCCTCATTGGCGGCGCCGTTACAACTGTACCTGGGCACATTGGCATTCACACCGATTGTTCCATAGTTTCCCTTCACTCCACCCAAATAGGCGGTAGCCGTGCAAGCGGAATCAGCCACCTGGCGATTCACACAGTAAGTCTTGGAAAATCCAGTGTAGGGGAATCGGTCGAAGTACACCTGCTCTGCACTATCACCTAACAAGTTCCGAGTGGCCGTTACCGTGTGAACGGACATTCCGTCACCCAGGAACATGATCACGTTTTTGGCCTTGTTCGCGGAAGTCGCCTGTGCCTCGGCCAGTTTGGATAGCAGCTTCGCCTGAGCCTTATCCACCCAATACTGGGTCTGCTGCTCCTCCGCAAACTTGATGGGGTGCGATTCGGCATCGAAAGAGCGGCCACGTGGGTGGTCTGAAAAAATGCCAAAAAATTATATTAGGTATATGTGGAGATTTCCATTTGGTAGAAAATAGTTTAAGGAACATAAATTATTAAGCCCAGGGGCTTACTAATATATCAATGGGATTAATAGAGTCTTATCTCCGTGCGTGGTTTAACGGCAAACAACTCTATTTTGCGATAAGAAGCGATTTCCAAGAATTTTATCTCGAAGTACCTCGTCCTAGAAGCTTATATTACCACCCATAACCAATTAGTAAGCTGCTATAAATAAGAGGTAATCCTTGGGACTTTCAAATTATAAGCACTTTCATTTTAATTAAATTGATTTTATATTTCTATCAAATTATTTTTGAACTTAAAAAACATTTTACTAATCATGATAAAAAGCTATTAGAATGGACGGCTGATCTTCTAATATCAAATACCGATTATTCAAAATATGCCAAGGCGTACTAACTTGATATAAAAAAGGTTTTAGTTTGGTTTAGTTTCCTAAGCAGGATCAAAACACTTTACCTCTCTGCCCGCTGACACTTCCGCTCAGCCAGATGGCGATGAAAAGCAAAAGAATGAATCTCTTTGCCATTTTCCGCTAATCCCAAGTTACCACAGCGACTTCTGTGAAGATCAGACCTTGATTGAAGACTGAACCGACTGACCGACCAAAGAATTGGCCATCGACTTATCGCTCAGTATCAAAATAAATCTAATCGAAGGAAACTAATCTAGACGGTTCAATCAAATCATCATTTATGACTGGCCAAGAATGGGCTGACAGAAGTCGTAGAACGGACCAAAACCAATGCCAAAACATGCTCACGTGCCTTGGCCACAAAGTTTATATGCCTTTGAATCTCCGTTCATAACTGATTACGTATACGACCTGTGTAACCACTTTAAAGCTAAGAAATTCCTCTTTCTCCTTTAAAATTTTTATTTATTGCTTATGTCAAAGATTTTGTTGACACTTTTTGATTTTATGGCTTCCTAAGGAAGTTTCTTTCCGTAACTTGGACCACCTTTGAATATTACATTTGAACCCTTGACCCCTGGCCAAATAATTGACTTTGAGTCTGCACAACTTTTCTCCTTTGTTTGTCTGGATTGCATACTTTCGGGGCTAGCCTACCACCTCAGACAAATTTAAAAAACGGAAAAGAAATTTCAATTATTTTTTATATTTATATTTTGCTTACATTTCACAATATGGTTTTGGCCAGAGCCACAATGGATCCTGTGAACTTTATGACCTAAAAAATGATCCAGTTACGGTATATCTTTGAAGTTAAAAAAAGGGAGCAACCCACCGATGTGAAGACTGGCAAAGAAGGTGCAAAGAAGGGCACCCTTACAGTAATGGGTCGTTGAGCTCGCAGGATAATTAGAAAAACTCGCCTTCGGGTCTCTCGATCCCACTTATACCAGGCACTACTGTAGGCAGCTTCTCCCAAGGAAAGGCTCTATAAATAAACAAGGAAAATCAAAGTTACTTTTAAGGATTTTATTTAACTTACCTCTGTGGCCATTTCTGTACCACCATAGCAATAAAGAAATATAGCCGAGGACACAGTGATGGTATAAACCATATATCGGATGATATTGTAGCCGGAATACTGCAGTAATAATAATTTGTTTAAGACAGAAGGCTTATCAGTTAGCGAAAGGTTATCACCAATAGTATATCAATCACACTGGTGGCTATCACTAAGCTGGCTGATACAAAATGGACGAAAGTGGGTTCTGCCATGATTCCAGAGAATACCTGAACAATCTTCTCTATTTCGTTATGACGATCCACGATATCCGCCAATCGCTGACAGCAGAGATTGGATTCCCTGACCGAAGGATCTAAAAGGAATAAAGAGTGTTATATTCTCAATAAAGGTTATATACACCCACCTTCGACTGGCCTTATAGCATCTTGAACGTCATATCTTAAGGCCTGCAACAAAAAGGCCATATACAGTGTAAACCCAAAGAAGAAACCATCGGTTCCAGCAAAGGCATACACAGTGACCTGACCACTCCAAACGGAGTAGAGATAAAAAACTGGAAACCAGGGCATACGATGAGCAAACTCCCCAAACCTATTGATCTTCCAAGAAATTAGATATTCCTTTCAATTGAAACTTTTGAAAATTAACCTACAGCATGCGAAAGGGCATATCGAATTTGAACTCCTGATGTCGACGTACCCACATTTCCCAAAGGGATCGCAGGACGAAGGCACCAGTTGTGATGCTGCCCGAAGTGAAGACCATCATCCCACACCTGGTGACCATTTGATAGTAGCTCCTTTGCGCCCTATCTCTGCGCGAATCTTTCCTCTTCTCCTGCTCTTTGATGAGCAATCGGACACGTTCCATTAAGTCAGCAACCTCCTGATGGCGCCACCACATCCATCCGAGCTTGAAAAGCGTTGTTGCACTGCAGGCCAAAGGACAAAAGGCATCCATGGCGTCCACGGGACTGGTGCGTAAGTGGCTCCAGCCAAAGACGAATTCCGCCTGGCAGCAATGCGCTAGATTCACGAAATTGAACACCAGCCATGAGAGATGTAACCACGATTGCTTCTGTCCGAATCTTAGACCCAGTAATCCAAAGGAATATCGGGTCACGAAGAACAGATGCTTATCAAGCGGATAGTTGCGCCCTAGAAATCGCGGATACATGATGTTTTCGGCATAAAGGGGCCTTTCCTTTATATAGTACCTTAACAGTACTCACAAATTGTTTAATTATTGTTTTCAAGCCGAAGAAACGACACCTGGCCGTGTTTAATGACAGGATAAGAAGCAGGACCTAATTGAGTGGGCGACAGAAACTAAACGCCCCCATCATTATGATTATTTTTGGGATCGGTACCTTATAATTAAACATTTTAGTTAAGTGCTTACAGAACATTCAAAATGTATCCTCCTTACGTTTTATTTTGATTAAATTATTCATAAGAACTTAATTAATTGGAGTCAAATCCCAACTCATGGACGGATTGTGAGCATTTGTTAACTTAAAGAAGAAATAAAGCTCATTACTATTTACTATTGATATAACTATTACTATTACTATTTTTGTATGTATCTTTTATAGCAAAACTTTGATTTATATTCAAAGGTTGTTTAAAGATATTGCCATATATCTACTTGTCCCTCGATAAACTCTGAAGCTGAATAAGCTTGATGATGGGAAAACGAATTCCTCAGTTTCAGTGCCTTCGGTTCATTGAATTTAAAATAGTTCTTGGCTTGCGCCAAGCCAAACCAAAACAGCATCCATAAATATGAGCTTCCTTTTGTTGTGGGTTTCGAGCATAAATTTGTGTTTGCCCTTTTTCGCTGTGTGTTTTGGCTTGTTGTGGGAAGTTTGCTGGAGTGCCGATGAACCCGCGCCAAATTCGAATTTCAAATCAGCAGGAGATGTGGGTCAGGCGAAAAGAAACATTCGCGGATTTGCATGGGATTCGCCACACACTCAGATTTATGTTGATGCATGCAGCACCCGCTGGATTGTGCCTTATGGGGTGAATCACTTTTTTTTAATTAAGTTCTTTGTCCGGCTCACGTTGCGTATGAGCAATGCTGCACCCTACCCCGATATTGATTTCCAGTGGGGCACTTTTTATCATGAATATTTGAGCAGGGGGTAGGTTTAATCTTAGTGTTTCCTCTAGAACTACTTGCTGGAAAACATCCACCCCCAAGTCTGATATCATCGCACCACCCACTGAGAGCCCAAGCCCCAGAAAATCCAGCGCCTCGTTTTATGGTTAACCACCCCCGAAAAATCGGCAACAAAGGTGACCCCGACACACCCTGTTGAGCCACCCATCCACCCCATTTTTGGAAAATCTCCCCTGGAAAGGCCCCCCTCTTATTACATTTCCTACCAAAACCCCCTCTTTGCCTTGATTTACCCCTCAGCCCAATCCTGCTGCAGGAAAATGAGGAAAATCAGCACAAGCATAGCAGCAAGTGGAAAAGCTAGGAGTGCCAGTACTGGAAACGAGGAAAAAGGAGGCCAGCGTGTCAGCGAGTCGCCAAAAAACAGTTGCAGAACCCGACTGAAAAACCCGTTTTCCCACCAACACAAAAGACATGCTGGTTGGCCCACATTCGCCGTGTGTCGCTGTGGAAATTGGAAGCGAGTTTTCCCAGTTTCAAAAGGGGCAAACTGGGTGGGGGGCTATAGTGTACGAAACAGGTTGATTTTCCTGCTGACGCCGTTGGCCATTAGCCAAATGGGATTTCACACGCTTCCTTTGGGCTCCGCTCCGATGCGTCGCCTCACGTCATGGCCCAGTTGGAGTTGGCATCGCTGGAGTCGCTGGATTCGGTGCCTGTCAGCACCATCTATCGTATACCATATTCCATATACTACCACCCCATCCCATTTCATGCACAAAGAAAATAACTAAATCTTATATTTCCAGGTCAAAAATATATATTTATATTGGATTGAGTAAATAATATCAAATGCATAATCTCATTTTTCCTTTTCTCCCACAACTGAAAATATCATTTCATAGCTTATATATATTTTCTTGCTGTGTACGATACCATCCCAATCGACCCACTCAACTGCCATCATCATCGTCATCCAGCTGCAGGAGGGATCAATTATTAAGGCGCCGCTCGGGATGTATGGGCGACAACCTGATTGACAACCTGCTCAGAGGCTTTCAGCACGTCATCCGAATGGCATAAACTCATTCACGGTTGACAATCAATTGGGGCTGAAATAAAGGCCCCAAAAAAGTCTAAAGTTAATAGAAAGAGGAGTGGAAATGGTTTAGAGTTTAGATAGATATTAGAATCATAAGTTTTTTGATTGAAGAATATATTTAGAAGTTACCTTTTCCATCAAACAGAAAATTTTCAAAAAAATAACACAACACCTTTTCCATTAACAGTATTACTTAAAATATAACATTTTACTCATGAAACAGACCCACTGCCATATAATCAAGATAGACAAAACGAAGCTTTCGCTAAAGTTTTATATGTTTTTGACATGGCATTTCAGTTGGATGTGCGTGATCGCATATAGACATGCCAGAAGTAGTTAACCCAAATGATTTTTATCTAAATGAAAGCATTACTTACTGATTATTTCAGATATTCTAAATTAATCCAAACCAACTATTTTCCATTGGGGTAACCAAAAGCTTCTCGGATGCTTCGTTTTCCGCTGGTTAATTTACAAAGCGGCGTTAATTATAATTAAAACAGGCAAACTAAATGAATAAACGTATAAATAGCATGTACATGACTATATGCCAGCGTCATATCTATATGGTCGAGCACTATAAGTGCTTATACTCGTATATGAGCACATAGATGTATGGATTTATATAGCCTAGTAAATATACATATGAATATATGTGGAGCTTATATCCCCGTTCGCATGGCCACAGATCGAGCGTGACACAATACAATTTGTGGCGCTTTGTTCTAAGCGCTTGAAACTCTTCGTTTTACCCCGATATTTCCCCCCGTTGCAGCTGTGAGGCAGACGTGACATAAGCTAAATTGTTTTAAATTTTGTTGAATCGCTTTTCCAATGACTGGCAAGCATTCTCAGTACGATAAATTGGAACCGCTTCGCATGTCATGTGGTTGAGTGGTTGAGGGGGTGGTACTAAATATCTGGTTATGGGTGGGTTGAGTTCTCGGGTTTTGCGGCTAACTTAGCCAAGGGGAGTAAGAGAGGGAGAGATCTTTAAGCGTTGTCTATAGGCCTACACGTATATGTATGGATGTAGGTTTGCCCCCCACCAGTGGTAGTCAATAGTGCAGTGGATAATTACTGAACGAATGGAGATGTCAGCTGACCGACAGTGGGATTCCACCTCCCCATTTTTTTGTATGGTTTTTCCCCTCGGCAGACAAATAAAACGCCTCTGATTAATGACAATTAGCGCGGATCGATGTTGGATCGGCGGACTCCACATTTGGCCACATTTTCAGACCGAAACATGAGCATTCATTTCCTCTAATTTGGGGCGACAAATGTGCTGACATCAACATGTCCAGCATAACAAGGCTGCTGGGCACCAGGGTTGTGGTGTTGAAACCGAGTTGACATTAATTAATGCCCATTATAATGGATAATTGTGAAATATTCTGTAGCATATTTGCTAAGTAATTGTAATGTAAGGGTCAGGAAAGTGTTTTTCCAGATCTGTGTTTGAAAAACACTTTTATAGTCCAAAGATATTCTTATCCTTATCATTAAATACTGATGGATATAACAGTGGTTAAGAATACATACTTTCTTTGAAAAATGATTCAACTTAAAATATTATTGCGCTAAGAAGGAAGTTTCTCAGATAACTTAACCCTTTTGCTGCATCCAATCCAAAAGCTCAAAGACTCAAAGCTTCAGTGGAGTCAAAGTCGAATTCAAAGCTAAGCGCAGGCTACTCTAACCGAAAAGAAACCCCATTAATCACACACAGCACACTCAGCACAAATTGTTGTGTTCTGGGGCTGAAGTACGGCTCAGAAACCGAATCCACAAATTTGAAACTGGCTGCCTTCAAGGCCAACTTCTTATTAAATGCCAAGATGTGAGTCGTCGAGTTGTGGAAGCCGCACCGAAAAGTTGCAAGGGGCAACAGCGCAGCTGAAGGACTGGATTATAATTACAGACCGATCAAAGATCAAGTATGGGGACGGGTCTCAGTCTTAGCTAGTTCAGTTCTATTGGTTTATTGTAAAACTAGCTTTCCAAGATCATCAAATGCAAGATGGCGTCATTTTAAGCTTAGCAACTGATGTGGAATCTACCCGGATGGTTGCTTGAAGAAGGGGTTTAGATCGGGGGAGCGGATGTCTCCGCTAATGAGTAACAAGTATGGGCAGATACTACAGTCCGACTTCCAGAAGCGATATCAGTATATAACTTACATAACCTTAAAACTATACAAGTAATTATAACTAATTAAGTGGTTTTTATAGCGCTTAATTGAAGCCTCACCTAAAATGCAAGCTAAATTTTAATAATTCTCTAAGGCAATCAATAGCACAATTTTACTTTTCAGGTGTTTTTTTTAGGATTTTTTAAAGATAGCAAATATAAAATCTTAAGTTTTAACACTTTTGTCAAATCATCCTCGCTATAGTTATAGAAGTCGTACTGTAGATATAGACAGTTCTATTAGCTCTACTAGCCCATCTCTATCTAGCAGCTTTGTTTGCCCGTTGGCTTTGTCTCGTTCTCAAGGTCAGCTGCTGCAGGCATTAGACAGAGATAGAGAAGCCTCGACACCGGACTGTAAAGTCAAAGTTTCGAATGCAAAAACTAAATTATACATTGCGAATAGTAATAGTTATTGTGTGAATTTCCAAGGTCCACACAAAATTACCTCGAACATTGTATTTATATTCTATACAAATATAATATCTCTAATCGAGTTGCTGGCATGCCATTCCGCATATCTACATGCTTGTATTTATTTCCAAGCGAATGATTCGTGTAATGAGCGCACCTGAAAAGCCAATTTATATAATTTTTGTGCCAAATAAATTCAATGAATGCGGGAATTGCATCACCAGCAATTGCAATTCTTAGTCATAAAAACGCTTTAATAAAAAAAATAAGTGCCAGCAAAAGTCCCATGACAAATGGAGATTGTTTATAATTCTGAGTCTCATTCTGCGAAATATGATTC